CCTTATCTTTAAAAACAGGAATTGGTTGCTCTAGTTTTTTTTAATGCAGACCTCTGAAGCAAAGTCTCAGCTGTGCCTATGATTATTCTGTATGTATGTATTAGTTCATCCAACAGCCAGGTTTGTTCCAATAAAACATTTCAGTCAATTTTAAAAAATATACACCATGTGCACAATGGCTGTCTTGTTATTGTATCACCTGCACTTTCTTTGTTTTTGTTTTTTTTATATTAGTACAGCAAAGATACAATCAACACTACGGGAGGAAAAGTAACAATACGGCAGAAAGAGAAGTGGTGGCCAAAAAAGATTTTACACCAATCAACTGTTGCTTAATTTGGCACCAACTGTCTATGTAAAATGTAAAAAAGCAAAGCAATAACTCCAATGACTGCAGAGATAAATGGAGGCCAATATTTTCTTTGTTTTCACAGTCAGGAATCAAAGCTTGTCTAATTATACATTGCTAGGATGAATATATAGATTGTCCTTCACTTCTGTGCACAATCTTGGATGCAGGAAATTAAAAAAGACGGCTGTGTTGTTGAGATAAGCCTATGTTGTTGTTTTTTTCTTCTTGTATTTAAGCCATCTTGCATGCAAATCAAGCTGAGGAAGCTCTCTAATATGTCCCCCTCCTCCCTAAATCCTGTCAGGTGGTAAATTATGAGGATCTTTCCCAAATCTGTGACCAGTTATATGGTTTCTATGGCTTCTAATGCTTGTTCATGTGTGTATTCAATTAAGGCCTGTTCTAGACAGCACATACTAATTATCTGTTAGGAGGTCTCAGACGGTGCAATGTTTGGTCCACATAAAGCAGCAATTCTCTCTGGATTTCAGTCTGCTTTATGAAGGAGAGATAGAAGCTTTCCCCGCTCAAAATGAGAAATACAATTTTTAATGAGAGTTTACACATTCAGGGCTCTTCCTCAGTTCACATGAGCAGACAATTTACAAGCTTCCCTGCATTCTCTCTGTTGCCAACCACGGCTGTAACTCTCCACAATATCTGAGTTAATAGAATTTTGTGAATTCATACTCACACCTTATTACCAAAGGGAGCTATGCTGGTGAAAAAAAAAAAACCTTTTCAGATGCCAGTCATGCACAAGTAGTATAGAACCCAGCATATTTCAGAGTAATAAATAAATTTGTATTCTCTGTGTTAATTTAATAAGCAACTAATAAGCATAAACATTTTAATATAATATTACAAAATCCTCCTTGGTCATTTTTGATGCATGCAGGCAGTCTAAAAACATTTTCTTTTTTAAGAGGATTCAAAACCATTTACACTATGCAGCTAAGCAGATGTCATTTATATGCATGTTTTCCGTGTAAATGGGTTTTACCCGTTATTGATGTCCGCCGGAGAGCAGAGAGAGGTTTGTGTAATTTAACAGAATAGCTTCTAATGGGCAATATTTTTGAAGTCATTTGCTGTAATGATTCAATTCAGTACAGGAGAGCTTCAAGCTTGTAAAACCTCTGAAGCTTCCCTTTAAAGACAGCAAATGCATACTGATGTTTTTTGGAAATATTTATAATGAGAACTATTGAAGCTTTCCAAAAAGGATCCATGCAATATTCTAGAGCTCATGTTTAATCGTTTATTTTTTGTAAGGTGATTTGTAGGTCATAATAGTTTTATGAATTTTTGTGAATTGAACTGAGAAAAAACAGTCCATTCACTGGAAAAACGATCTAGAAATAAGTAAAAAAAATTTAAATTAAATGTATTTACCCTTAACTTGAGTAAGTTAATGAGATAGTTTGCCAATGGAATGAGTATTTTTAGTCTTAAAATAAGATAATTAGATAACATGCACTTGAAATTAGACAATGCAATTGTGTTTTCTTATTTTAAGTGTAAATTGTCTCGTTCCATTGACAAAATGTATGTTTTACCTCCTCAGTTCAAGACAAAATGCACTTATTTTAAGAAAAGATGGCTTATTTAGATGTTGATTTTTCCAGTGTAAACTATAAGACATACAGAAATACTTAGGTATCAACACGTAACATAATAACCACTCATAATAAAAGTAAAGACAACCATTTCTTCACTGATCCCTTAGCTCAGTAATTCTATGGTGACTTACTTGGTCAGTATGGAAGAAGAAGAGATTTTCATCACACAGGAAACAAACCAACAACCTACCCATTGATTTGAAAACTTCAACACATTGTACAAATTGTGGCTTTTAATAAAAAGAAAAGAAATCTGTTCTGACCATCATTCTATAGTTGCGCAATAGAAAATAGTTTATGTTCAATTTATATAAATTGATACCTCCAAATGAGATGCTATCATCGGTTGCTTTCTGATTTTCAAGTGGCATGGCCCTGTCAAGAAAAAAAATTTTTGAGTGTGACAAAATTTATTTGTGGTTCATAGTTTTAATAATTTTAGGTTTTCTGGCTCTAGTATAAAACCCATGTTATTTAAACAGGTAATTTAGCTGTTAAACCTGCTAATACTGGAAAGGATTACCTAACTAATCACTCAGCTTTAGATTGGGAAACTTGAATCAAAGCCACAGAAAAAAAAGCAATTAAAAGGAATTTCTTTGAGGCAATATAAGGATCCCTGGGGAGATCACTGAGTCGAAGGTGTCTGAACACAATGGAGCGCATGACACCTCTGACAAGAGAAGCAAAACACACCGTGATGGGCTAATTGGTATGCTCCTGCAGCTCAAAAAGGCACAAAAAGGTGAAGCTGAAGCATATGATATTTACTGGAGCGCAACCAACACAGAAGCAATGCAACAAAACACAAGTTTGCATAACTTTCACACGCTTGGTTAGATGTTAGCATCTTTAGAAGAGTAACATATCAGTTTTATCAATCTGAGCTGATTTCTTCAGACTCAGTTTTTTACCTAAAAGTAATTTAACTTTATTTCAAATAAAGGACTGTTCTTGAAATTGCTGAAATGGGTTATGAATAATCAAGTCACAGAATAAATAAAAAAATTTGTGCAAACTCTTACAAAATCGACACGCTAGTATTTGCATTACAATGTTTGATCTCCAGAACAAGTTTTTACAATAAACTTTTTTTGTGGGTTCAATAGTTTCTCTTCCACACATGGTCTCATGGGGATTTTCAGCTCTGCTGATTTTTATTCTAATACTATGCTGTAGAAAATCACTGTTATATAATCAAAAACGCAGGATCCCCCAAGAGTATAGGCATCAATCTTTGCTATATTTGTTATGACAAATGGATAATTGTCACTGGGTTTCTATAAAATCAAGCCTAAACCAGAATTATATGCTTGCTTATAAAACAATCTGGGCATTTAAGCAATTCAGACAAATAGCACATAAAGCCTGCAGGCTTTTAACACTTTGCTGCAATACCTTTAGAAAAGGAGTTTGTGCACCAGCTGTGTTTGTGATAGGAGCAAGCATCATGCAACTTTAAAGCCATTCTTCTCCCTCTGGGGTGTCGCTCTTTCATGTCCTGCTCTGACATCACTGTAAAATCCAGTGCCTGTCGCTGGCCATATGGGGAGAGAAGGACATTTAGTGAAGACGGACATTATGGAGGTTAACATAGCTTTTAGTGCTAAAGAATGACGCAATGTGATGGTTGTGTTCCATATTGAAACCTTTGTCAATTTACAATCACAAGTTTTCAACAATTTATTTTTTGTGACAGCCTAGCAATAGCCAAGTACAGGGTTAAATCAGTTTATTCAAAGAGTCAATTGATCAACATGCCATTTAGAATCAATATAAATACATCTATTATCTGAAAGCTTCTAGACAGTTGAAGAAAAAGGATAAAAAGCCAAGTGTAACTGGAGGACACGTAGAGACCAATATATAAGGTATGAGAAGAGGATGGCATTCTACAAAACTGGCAGAATTTAAGTATTGCGAGAAGAAAGCCATTGTGGAAAGAAAGTTATACAAAGTCTAATTTAATGTTTGCAAAAAATCTATTTTGGTTAGGAGGGTGATCTTAAAGAGGAGACCCAAATTAAACATTTTGGCTCCATGTTTTCTAAATAAAAAAAAGAAAGATTAATGAAGCAAAAATCAAAAGTAATGCAGAAAACATGGAGTTTGGTGACTGAACCTAAAAACCTACACTGGAAGGTTTTGGATAAAGATGTATTTAGTATGGTACAACACAATGGACTTGCAGCTTTAAATTTAGTGGAAGCTTAATATAAATAAAAAAAATATCTAACTCATACATTCTTTTCTTTTACTTTGCTCTATTTTAAGTTGATGCATAAATTAAATCCCAGTGAATGACATTTGGATATGTTGTAACATGACACATGCTGAAAAGAATCAGGGTATAAATACTTTTCTGTATACTTTCTGCATATAGCACCTGCAGAATCAGCCCGATGGGCCCCAAACTCGCCGGCTTATTTGGCAAAGTCAGGTTTTAAACAGCTCTAAGTTTGTGTTGCATCAGAGTCAGACATAACCCTGGCAGTCTGTGAAAATCCTGATTGTTTCTGCTGCTTTACCAGCCGCAGAGGGTTGGAGGGAAACTGGAACGTAGGGAGAATCTGTTAAGTTGTTGAAGCTTGGAAAGCTTTAAAAGCAGGGAGGGGGAGGTTGTGGTTCAGTCTGATCCTTAAACAAAGGTGCAGCAGCCTTCCTCCTGCTTTAACAGCACTGCCTAGCCCCTCTCCCCCAACTGGAAAACATTTGTCCATCTGATCCTCTATTAAATCTTGATTATTGTGGATTTGTCTCTTCCGAAACCTGTGATTTGCAAAGATGAGCGTGCAATGAGGGTCATAATCTGACAGTTGGGGCCATTTGTTGCCAATCAACCTAAGGCATCAATTACACCTCTGTTAAAGTTGAATAAACTAGTGTGAAAACGGTAGAGAATTTTAAGCTGAAGGCATGTAGCTGAGGTGTCATCAGTGATAAGGACAATTAGGGTTTGGTTTAAACTGGCTTTAGATAAACGCAGTGATTCTCTGAATCAGTTTTGAGTTTCTTTGCAGCTGCTGCGACCTGATCTGTAGCTCACTTCTCTCCAATGCAAAAGCAGAACAGCAGGGGAGGTTCTGGGATTTGAGGGCTTCCATGCGGCGTCATGCAGAGCCCATCATTGTCTCTCTCACACTTTCTAACAAGCCGTTTCACAACATCCAGGCAGCGGATCGGACTGTGCGCAGCAGCTTTGCCCTCAGGGCTGTTTTCCTTCTCGCCATAACTAACACCCTGGATGAGGCCAATTACTTAGACTTAATCTCTCTTAATGTCTGCTTTCCGATCGACTGATGCGGAATGAGTGAAGCGATGGCTGGAGAGATCCGAGTCCGCCGGGTGCGAGAGGTGGCAGCTTGAAAGGGAGAGACACTTTGATTTGGCTGCAGAGAGGAGCTGCGCGCAGAGGAACTGATCCTACGGACACCACCATGTACGGATCGGTGGATTTTCCCCTCAAAGAGCCGCGGACTGCGTGTGATTACGGATTAGTGTGACAGTCTGGTGTCTGAGGGGAGTTTTTTCTTCTATTTATTTATTTTTGGTCAGGGATCTGCTTCCTCTCTGTTCGCTGTCCTCTGGGTTCCTGCAGAACTCCTGAGTTGCAGAGCCCATGCAGCCTCAAAGGTGGGTCTATGTCATATCCTTTTTTTCCCCCTCTTATTTATTTTTTTTTATTTATTTGCATGTTACATTTCCTTTTGCATATTTTGTGCATATTGAATTTTCAATGCGAGAAATTTACATTTGTGCAGCATGATCAAACAGTTTAATCCAAGAATTAAAAATGCAACAAAATAAATTTATAATACATAAATACATTTACCACCTTTTCTTTTATTTAAAGGCTCATCCAGTTGTTTTTTCTAGGAATAACAGCATTCAGATCAGTAACAACCACTCTATTTGACAGTAATAAAGGGTTATTTTCTTGCTTATAACAGGCTAAAAAAAACTTGCCGGATTGCTAATTTTCGCCTTTTTAAAGCCTGACAGCTCCAATTAGCACAATAACCGATTTGTCCATGTAGCTCACATTTAATGACAGGTTTGCCTGCCCTAGTAAAAGCCATGTGCGTTTGTGTCAAGATTTCAGCTTTCAGATTAGATCTAACAAGCGCCATCTGTTGGAGAAAGGAAGGATACTTTAATTAATATAGAAAGCAGCAGCTCACTTATGTTGTAGTTTGATTATGAAGTGTACCATAATGTGGTTAGGTTGGTTTTAAATTATGTATTATATAACATAATTAATAAAACCAACAGATCAAAAGAAGCATGTATCTTTAATTCTGCATTTAAAATGAAATATCTATCTATCAGGGTTTACCTATAACTATATTACCTGTTTCGTTAACATTACCTGACAGTTCAAACATCTAGATTTTGTTTTGTTTTTTGTTTTTTCTCATTCCAATGACCTTAAATCACATATAGACCCATTAAAGACATCAAATTGCCTGTTTATTAATAGAGCTTTAGAGTTTTAAATTCAATGGAAAGTGAAAGAAGATCATGTTAATTTTAAAATCATTTGAGTTCTTAGTTTTTATACATTGAAAATTAAGGGAAAAATCAAGCGATTCTCAGGACAGCTGATTGGTGCATCTCTATTTATTAAAGCCTTGGTTGCCCGCATTCTTAATTTCATAATACAGTCATGCATTAAGACAAGAATCTCTATTGACAAGATCCCATCAACCAACCAAATAGCTGGTATGTTTTTTAGTTTTTTTTTCTTAAAGTGACATGTAGCTTGATAAGAGCAGGCAGCTGGTGAGAGTGATTCCAGTAGGGCTGTGAATATAGATTTAGGTTAACTAGAATTGGTCTATTGATCATTGAAATGCCCTGATATGACATTTCTAATAGCTTTTGTGGCTATACTTTCTAATGATATCATGTAGCAGTAAAATATTCAATTTGCAAGATTATTAGATTTAAATTTAAAAAGCTGAATATATTTGGAGTGGTCTTATTCGAATAAGATCACTGGAAATAAAAATTTTGGTTATTATAGAAAATATTAAGACTGTTGACTATTATTATTGCTACATTGCAGTTTATCTGTTATATTTCTTAATTGTTATTTGGATTTCTAAGTCTTTTATGATTTAAGTTTATAATTTAGATTAATGTTTATAAAGCTTAACATTTGTGCCTGCAAACATTGCTTGCATTTTATATTGGAAGATATTATTCAATGTTACTGTGTGAATATTCTTTTTTTAATTTTACACTCAATCAATTAGAAATAACAAAATAAAATAATCATTTATACCACTAAATTATTTGAAGTACTTATTTAGCATCGTATTTTACTGTTATTAATCATTTAAGTAGTTCACAAACCAGACATTTTTAATCTATTCTGCTTAGACTGTGTTATTTAACACAACGGGCATTTTGTATTCAAACAGTTGAATGCAACTACAAAACATCTGCACAACCAGCAGTTTATAACAATAGAATAATGGATTGCATTTCAGATTAGCTGAAATTCAATTTAATCATATTTAGCAAGGGCTGAGGTCTATGTTTGCATCAAACTCCAATCATTATCTAGTAAGGTTCTTAGTTTTTGATTTTTGTTTTTATCATAACACATAAGCATTCAATGACATTCAAAATTTAATCAGACATACTGAGATTTTAGAAAGCATAAAGGGTATAAAATAATAAAAATTCAAGAGTGCTGGTGGGAAAGTAGGACGCATGTTTAACTTAAGATTTTTCTAGGTAGTTAGAAACCTTTTGCACCATACAATAAGTTAGTTATATTTTTGTCATTTGTAGCGGCTTTAACAACAATAATTTGTTAACTAATTATGAGCCTCAGCAAACTGTGTGCCAGTGGAATAAAAGATGGAACACACACGATCATATTTGGTATGCTGTGGGGCTTTTCTTGCCAGGAATCGACCAGTAACACATCATAAAAATATTCACATCAAAGCCTTCAGGGTGTTAAATGACAATTTACTCCTCTGAGTTTTGCAGCAGCCACAGCTTCTCTGCCACAGCCCCAAAAAATGTTCCATGATTTATCAAAAAGATTTTCAGCAAGAAGCAGCTTAGAGCTTTCAGCTGCACTCATTCATTTCAGATGTGAACGCTCAGCATATTAGTGTTGGATGTAAGTCTCTGCACAGGGCCACCCCTGTTGAAAAACATGTGTAGGCTCAGACCTCATTGTATGGGAACATATCCATCAACCGCGAGAGGGGACAGAAACCTCACAGACGTTCACCACTCCGGTGGAAAAACACTGTACAGCCAGCTACAACCTGAGCGTATATGCAGCCATCCATCATGTGTGGGTTCAGCTTGAATAGTAATGAAAGCCAGCGCTAATGTAACCATTTGTGAAAATAAAAGCTAATCAAGAAGTGTGATGTGTTTGAAGGGAGTGGATTTGAGCAGAATTTTCGGTTATCTAAGGAAATTTGCTAAAACCTCTTAATATAAAGTGAAACTGCACTTAAATCCAAGTCAATAAAATGAAACACTAAATAATTAGGTGCCCTTCTTGTTGCGGATTTATCAGGGTGTTAACCAACTAGGCTTCTCCTGGCTGACACAGATATTGGGTATTCTATCAGGATTTAAATGCCTGTTACGATTTTTGTTTTTCTAAAGGACTATATTTAAAAATCCCTGCAGGTCCTTCGTTGGAGGTTTCCGTTCTCTCAGGTTTCACTTCTTAATAAACTAACTGAGGAAAAACTCTATCTATATTACACAGAGAATGATTCTATACTTTAACTACTTTTTAAAATTACACTTTGGTCCATTTTGTCTGAGCTGTATGTTATCTCTAAGTATTATACCTAACCCACTGAAAGCTATAGTGTACACTTCATACATGGACATTTTTTTATAGCTATTTAAGCCCTGATCTTCATTTAGCTTTGGAAAAGAGCCCATAAGCTACGGGAAAATCTTTGTTAAAAAACAGGCCTAGTTATCCTGTTTGATCATCTTTAAACAAGTTCCATAATCATTTTCATCTTGTTTAAACAAAAGAAAATGTGATATTGTCAATGTCTTTTTGATGCAATGCTCAGGGGGGTAGTTATCAGTTTTGTTTTGGTTATTAGAGGACAGAAAGAGTTGTGTTTACAATTAAAATTGCACATAATTTTACTCAAGAGCTTGTGAATATTTCTTTTTTTTATATTGGTCTGGGAAACAGAATGTTTCACAACCAAAATGATTAATCTATAATTCAACCAGCAGATTGATTTATTGTTATATTCATTAGTAATTTGTGTTAACTTGTGCCAACTCTCCATTGAAGAATGTGTGAAACACATGGATTTAAAGATGTTTATGGAAGATTTTAGTGGAAATAGAAAATTGCACACACCTGGTCCACAGCACAGCTAACATTGGACCTTTAGGGGTAAAAAGATTTATATTCTACTTGTAAACACTTTTGTCTGGGGCATAGAGCCATTGTTCCCAAACTGCAGAACACAAACCTTGAGTGGTACTTAGGATGTCCTCCTTGAAAGAAATATGGGTGCTAATTCTTTGCAAGGCAACAAATGACCTATAACGTAAAACTAATAAGGAATAGGTAATAAGCTAAAATATTTTTAATTGCTTCTGATGAAAAGAACAGTGAGGAAAATTTGGAAAACTCTGCATAAACCGAGGCAGACAATAGTGAACAAGAAACTTTACTGCTGGTGTCCCATGTAACTGTTCAGATCTGGTGATGATAACCAGTTCAAAATAACCAATATGAAAGGCTAATTTACTAAATGACTGCCTCAGTGACAAGGCTAGGATATACAAGTAAATAGTAATGTGTCTAGCTACCATTTCAGCATGTGTTATGTCAGGCTTCTGAAAAATCCAATGAAATACTAATCATACAAAGTGCAAATAAGCTTTTTTGTTTGCCTCTGATACCAAGTTTTACATGCAAGGTGGCCATTTTGGATTTTAAAGTCAGGGTTGGTTTTAAACCCTAAAAATTCCCATTTGTAATTATAGCCTCGAAGAACCTTTATGATAACAAGAGAACCAAAAAAGGTCTAAGGAAATACTGTAGAATATTGCTTCAAGAATGATAGTAGTATGAAAGCAGTATTTACAGGTTTAGTACTTGTAATAAGAATAAAAAAAAAACACCAAAAGTGAATAAAAGAAGTTTGAAATTATCTTTTTTTTTTTGTGAACATTGAGCCTGTGTTTAACTGCTTGAACTGTAATGACTGTAACTGAATACCCCTAATAAACTATTAGTTTATAAATAAGAATATAACCGTTTGCAAATAGTTTCTTCAACCAATTCAACTGCGTGATTACTAAAAATCTAGTTATAAAAGGTCAAGATGGTGTTCCTTAAAAAATATACTGTACTGAGATGGTTCCTGCCCCCAAGGATCGACTTATGACGTGCCTCCCTAAGGCCCATGGTTCTCAAACCAGGTTCTAAGGGTGCATTGATTGTTTTCTTAAGAACTCTCTGAACAAACTGAGATTTTCGGATATATTTATAGTGTATTCTTTTAGTTTTAAAGTTGAAACTCGTAACATGTATTGTACTAGTTGCATAATTGTTAAGCAGTAGGATTTCCAGATTAATAAACCCAGCAACATGTCATTCTAAGGTTGTAATGGGTCTTAAGTTGAACTAGATTTTGGGGGCCTCCTGTTTAGAGCATCACAAGAACCAATACAGATTTGTTTCCCGAAGAGTGTGCCTAGTTTAACTGGCTGAGCCTAAATATTTTAATTTATCTATTTACAAACAGTCTCAATACTCTTTAATGGCAATCTTATTAAGTAGTGGCTAATCAGTCATGCCTTTGGCTTGCTCTGCAATGCTAACCCATCCATTTTTATCCCGCTTATTCCATCAGGGTCACAGAGTGGCTGGTGACTATCTCAGGTATTCTATGGGCGAGAGGCAGGGTACCACCTGGACAGGTCCCAAGTCTGTCAGAGTGCAAGATAGAGACATACAGCCATGCACACATACACTCAGACCTGGAGGAAGCCGAAGTACCCAGAGAGAATGCACAGGGAGAACAAGCAAACTCTATACAGAAGGACCCTGTACTGAGGATTAAACCAGAAACCTTCTTGCTGCAATGCAACAGTGCTACAAACTGTGCCACCATGCAGACCGCTACGCTAACCATTATGAGTAACACAGGCTAATGCTATAACACTAATTGATCTACAATGGTGTATTTTTTTGTTGCTTTTTTTTACTCCAGCCAGTACATCCTCTTACATCCCCTTTAAGAACAATAAGGTGATAGCTTCAGGAGTATTGAGATAGGATCCCAGTTTTCATCTGCTAAATGTTTTTATCAAAACAAATTTAAAAAAAAATCTCAAACTTTTACAGCTGATTTTATCACTTTTTATTGAGTCCTAATTGAGATTTTTTTTATAGAAAAAGGTAATTTTAACTTAATTTAAGTCAAAAATATGTAAAACTCCTAAAATGTGAATTTATATTGACCTAATAAGACATAGAATGTGAATTAAAACTAATTGAATAGAAAGTTCACTCAATGCAACTATCTTAAAAGGGTCATATAATGATTCTATAGGGTATTTGGTGCTGGTCTTTAAGGTCCTTGAATAGGTGCGTAACATTGGTTGGCATGAAAATGGCATATTTGCTTTTAACCAGGCTATTCAAGCCTGGTTAAAAGTCCTAGAATGAAATGACAGGTTTTCTTCCTTTTATGGTATGTTGTGAGATCAATAAAGCTCATCTAATCATCTAATCTAATCTAAGTATGCCCATGAATATTTAGATTAGCTGTGCGCTAATTGGTTGGTTTACAACAAGGGGAGCTGCCGAGCAAAGACGCATCATAGCAACAAGCATTTACTCACTGAAATATCAAATTGTTGATATGGTGGGGTGACCAGACGCAGCGGCGTAGGAAGCGGGGGGGACGGGGGGGACATGTCCCCCCCAATATAAAAGCCAGGTGGATATGTCCCCCCCAAAAAATTGTACCGCAAAATATTAGATTTTGACATTTTTTTACTAGCGTGCTTTTATTTTGAAGGCGCAGCATAGCGTTACGTCACTGTACTCCCCCTCCCCTCTCTGAACTGCTGAGTGAGAGTGAAGGGAGGGAAACAGCGATACAGAAGTCAGAAACTTGTGAAAGAGGTAAAATGGTCTGTCGGGATGCTGCCTATTTAAAACGTCTTTGTTGTCAGTTCACTTTCATATATAGAAACTGAATCTTTTTGGTTTAGTCATCTTAGTCTTGTACGAAAGAGGATTAGGGCCACTGGAAAAAAAAAAGTTAACTGATTTTTAAATTTTTTTTTAGTTTAACATGGGTAAAAAAGTAAGAATTCTGACTTTTCTCAGAATTCTGACTTTAATCTCAGAATTCTGACTTTTTTCTTCTGACTTTTTTCTCAGAATTCTGACTTTAATCTCAGAATTCTGACTTTTTTCCTCAAAATTCTGACTTTAATCTCAGAATTCTGACTTTTTTCTCAGAAATCTGACAGATGATTAATATTTCTAATCAATTTACAGTGTTTTTTTTTTTTTTTGGGGGGGGGGGGGGTACTATACAGATATATAAAAACAAGAAGGTCTAACTAAAAAAATAACCAGAATATATGTTTAGAGTAAAGATTTACTACTTGTACACAAGCACACAATTTCAAATCTGCTGAGCTTGCTGTGCAAGAAAATGTAAAATATACGTATAAAGAAATATAACAGGAAGTACTGCTAAAACAAACTAAATGTTAAATAATGTAGATATTGGTTTAAAAAATTCTTCAGATTTGGAAATTTGGAAGGAATACATAATTTTGAAATTAATCAACAAATCTGGTAAAAAATAAATAAATAAAAAATAAAAGTTGCACTTTTTTACTTGAGGAATTTGTTGAATAACTTCATAATTATGAGTTTAACTAGTTGGAGGTAATGCTACACTTCTCTGCTTCCTGTCCTGCTCATAAAAGGTAAACATTATAAACCCACCATTCATTTTCTACACTATTTGGAAAACACAACACAAATGTAATATAACAAAAGTATGTTTAAAAACAAACATGTTAGCATCAAGCCATAGCCATGTCTGTTTTAGAGACTAGCTCTCTTGTTTTAATGACCTTCTGCTCCTCCATTTATAAGGGGGACCCCTCGGGCACATCAAAAGTTGCCTAATTCTGTAATTTTTCACCAATATGTCACTGGCCATCTCAAACAACTCACATCTTTATCAGTGAAGCTGAATGCTCCACATCTCTACCTTCATGGTGCCCATCTACATTAAGATCCAAAATTCTGAGATTAAAGTCAGAATTCTGAGAAAGAAGTCAGAATTATGAGATTAAAGTCAGAATTCTGTGAAAAAAAGTCAGAATTCTGAGAAAAAAGTCAGAATTCTGACTTTTTTCCTGTATTAAACTGAAATAAAATTAAAAAATCACTTAACTTTTTTCAGTGGCCCTAATCCTCTTCCGTAGTCTTGGGCTGATCACTCATCCAATATTTAACTGCTAACTTTCTCTAGATGTTTGCCACGCTAGCCAAAATGTTATTTTTTTTTTATATATCTCATTTCAGTACAATGCCACCACCAACTAAAAGGCTTAAACAGCAGTAGGACTTACTCAGATTTTTTAAAAAGAGAAACGTCAGTGTGAGTAACAGTCACCTTACACAACTTGTGTTGAAATTAGCCCGGTCTGGGATTTTTTATTTTTTGTGTGGTTTTGATTCGCCGAAATGGACAGATGTTATACCTGCCGCGCTCCTGATCGTTAGTTAAAACCACAGGGAGAATTAATTTTAATTCTTAGCAGCGAACTGCTGCACAACCACTAATTAACCAACTAATTAACTTCTGCACCTTTATTTCCTCAAATAAACTGCTGGCTCCTCTTTTTAGACTATAAACAGATTAACACAACATTGACAACTCTGTAGTTTTCTCTGTTCTGTACTGCAAATTGGAATTAAAGACGCCATTTCTACCAAAGGTCGGGACAGACTGGCGCACCAGCACCTCCTGACCCCACTAAGGGACAGGGTGTACAGAAAATGGAAGGATAGATGGATTTCTACCAAAGGTTGATAATGCGTTTTTGAACCAGATGCTTCAAAGCGCCCTGTCCATAATTCTTCACCACACTGTCAGCTCCCTCTGTCAGTCAATCTATATAAATTCATTTTTGACCATTATTGCAAGTTTGACAAAATAAAACATATCAAACTTTGCACTTCTGTGGCCTACTGAATTGTTTTTAATCCAACTGAAATATTTGATTTTCTAGTGCGTATGCGGACACTAAATATGCCAAGGGCTGAAGCCCTTGAAAGACATCTCCCTTTGCTTAATAAAAGACTCCAGTCATTTTGTTTGGTGATATGCTCACATCTTATGAACAAATGCATTATGTAAATTTTAAATGCATTATTTTTGCAAGACACATTTATAAAGGAATAAAGTAAAAGATTAAATAGCCTTTTTTTAAAGTAGCATACTTAAGACATGTTTCTGTTGAATATTTACGAATCTCAGATTTCCGACATGTGTCCCCCCCAATTGTAAACATATTCCTACGCCCTTGACCAGACGTTATCTTTTTCTCGCACTTCTCCTACTTTTCATACCTAAAAAAAATGTCCAGGGGGAATTTCGAAATCGTCCGGGATTTTGGTCGACTACAGTGCAGCAGATCTGTGTTGTTCAGACAGCCATGAAAAGATCAGATCTAGGTCGCATATGGGCAAAAAAAATCGGATTTGGGTCGCTTCAGGCTGCAGTGTGAACGTAGCCAAAGAGAGAGCTCAATCCCCTCTATTTTTCGCCGTCATATCCCTCCATTGTCGGACAAACTCGCCCCCACTTCCTCTCCGCCTTGGCCGTATCTAGACCCATAGCGTCCGCACAAATTGAGCATAAATCAAAAATGTTCGTCAAGCTCACTGAACACTGCTGCAGGAGTATAACCAGCCCTTAAGGGGGGCCATGGCCACCCCTGTCCCCCCATCTAGCTCCGCCCCTGGTGTAATAGGAAACCATGCAGAAGGAGGGTTAGGGGCTGAGGAGGCGGACCTTCCCAGTAGAGCTGAGCGGCTGCAGCGCATTAAACACCAGCAGAAGGAGCAGCTTATTGTTCAGCTCAGACTCTAAAACAGGCAGCAAATCAGCTTCTATTCAACCAGGCAGTGATGAAAGGCGGACAGCGTTTTTGTGGACTATCTTCTGGTTGGGAGCGCTGCAGCTCTAACTTTTCTCCACTGTTTAATCCCATGTGACCAGGGAGAGGAGAGAAGCGCGACCCCGAGCTGGATGGATGGTTATGGGGGAAAGAGGGAGACCTTCGGCGCTTGATGTGTGCAAAGTCCTCGCTGTGTTTTTCACACTTTTCCCCTCCGGTAAGAAAAAACAAGTTAGTTTTAAATCACAGATTCACTCACTGCAGAGATTTCATTAGGATAGGTTGTATTCAATAACGCATAACTTATTAACAATAACTTATAACCTAACTTTATAGCCTAAATATATAAGTTTTTGGCCTTACATTCTGGGTTGCAAATGTTCAGTTGTGGATTATTTATTATATTTTTTGTATATATTTAGTTAATCATTATTTAACGATTTTAAAGTATAAGTTTCAAAATGGTAATCTAAGTCTATAGAAAAGAAAAGAACTGATATCTGTTATTTATTTTCATTTTTAGGCCTAACTTCAGTTAAATCATGCCTATTTATAAATATATGAATTGTTGAGGAAATAATGGAAAATCTTACACTAAATTCAGATTCCTTAAAGCACATTTTATTGTACCATTTTTTGTTTTCTTAGGTACCCAAAAATAGCTGGAATTTTGCTTTTTCTGGCATTTTTTTGTAGCAGCACCCATAAAGAGAAGCATAGTGGGTTTTCTATTATTTTTAAATGACTGGGAATTTATTCTGTAGGTCCAAAAAGTAAAATGTAGAGGGTTAAAAGGGTCAAATCTAGTTGTGTGGTGTCAAGTCACAGATAAAGCACGCATTTAAATAAAAAACTTTTCAAAATCAACTATATTTAAAGCTTTTTTGGTGTTGTCACATCAGACAATTAAGCAAGGAATCCATTTTTTATCTATGCTTAATTTTCTTTGTTCCCAATTTCATTTAGACCTGGAAAATTATTTATAAAAAAAAAATAGGCTCCAAATGTTTTAAGACTGTATAGAAACACAGTGGATTGGAATTAAATCAACCTTATATTACAGGGTGTAAATGGAACCTTTTTACACTGTTTTTTTTTCTTCTGCAAATTACTGGTATGTTTTCTAATTTTATTTATATAGCCACAGCTGTAGCAATATAAATTGGTGCTTGAAAGTTTACATACTCTGATGGAGCTCTTGAACTAAAATTTTGTTGAGCAACACTTTGAGGTAATCACTGAAATCAGGTGTTTTCTGTAATGTTCAGGATCAGACTTCTGCACCTCTTGACAGGTATGTTAGTTCACTGTTCATAAGCATGGCCCTTTAATTTGTCTGGGACAGTTTTTTTATAGAAACATTTATTCAAAATCAATATTTTATTTTACTAAACTATCATTTAGTATTTTTTTATTCTTTTTCAGTCTTGTGTTATTTGAATTACTTGTGTGAATTTATCCTTTTCTTTAAACATGTGAATGTGTATTGGAAAACTTGAAAATTAACTGTTGGTGAAATGAGTTGAACTGAACTAAATTAACCAAACCGAACTATTCTGGTGAACGCAGAATAGTCAGACTGATTTACACATCTCTCAGTATTATCAGCTTCCCAACTAAATAGCTGACCGTTAACAAACTCATAACACAGTGATACCTGAAGTTAAGGTTTTTTTATTGTCAGATGATTGGCGTTAGGTGGAAGATGTGGTAAAACATTAATGCTTTATTAGGCCAAGGTGATACTTGTCAAACATGGTGCAGCAATTAGGCGTCCTGAGATCTGTTTGAACAACTCAATAGTTGATAAACTATCAGCAAACTTGTAGATTAGAACCAAACCACAGTTATTGTCTATAATAAACTGCATTCCTTATATGTCAGATTACTAGGAGTCTATGGACTGGTTTTGCATTTGGTAGATGGTGAAGGACACAGATTTTTCCTTCCTTGAAGTGTGAACATTGAATATCAATATAGTATAGAAATGTGTATACTCTTCTCACTTTTTATTTCCAGCTTTTTGTGTTGATATCCTGTTATTAGATGGTGTGTTTACCTTTCTGATTCCCTTTGCCCATCTGACAGTGAGCCTGCAGTGCAAGGTCATCAAGTGTACCACTGAATATCTGGCCGTCACCTCAAACTCTGGACTCGGGGAGGAGGAGTACTGCACGGCTCTGCGGGTGTACAAAACCTGCGTGGGCCGACTGGCACGGAGCTGCAGGGGCGACCTGGCTTATCATTCTGTCCAGCATGGCATCGAGGACCTAATGAACCAAAAGAACTGCTCCAAAGAGGGGCCGATGTTCCAGCCGCAGGCCAGGACCCCGCCTCCTCCTCCCCCGCCTCCCCCCGTCCTTACCGACAGCCAGGAGCGCTCTGACGGCCCAGAGGTCTGCCATTACGAGCGCAGTCTGACGCGCAGCTCGGCGCAGCCTAACTACACCCACTGCGGCTTTTTCGGAGACCCCCACCTCAGGACCTTTGGCGATGACTTTCAGACGTGCAAGGTGGAAGGAGCCTGGCCTCTCATCCATAACAAATTCCTGTCGGTGCAGGTGACCAACTCACCTGTGCTTCCAGGGTCCTTGGCAACGGCCACAAGCAAGGTGAGGATCATTTTGTTAATCCTAGATACTTGAATGTATGATGTTAGAAAAAACACTGGTGCTGGAATGGATACACCTTTAACACATCTACTGATGGACCTTTTTATAATGAACATTCAGCTTTATGAAGATTCCATGTCAGAATCAATAAATACACAATTGGTGTAGCTAGAATTATTAACATAATAAGGTCTTTCATGTTTTTGCATAAAGCATCAAAGTTTCATGATAATTATATTGATCTCTTCTGTCTCACTGTTGGGTTTTTGTTTTTCTATGTGACCAATCTTCTGCTTTTTTTTTTTTTTTTTTAATGTGCAGGAGTTGTTTAGGAATCCTAAAAGGCTAAACTCCATTATATGCTGTGTATTTTTCCCCAGTTAGTATATATTTCAGCTTCGAGTTTGGACTCGTTCTGCGATTGGATTAATATGATATCAGCAAAAATCATGCATATAAATTTTGTTTTACTTATAGTAAATTGTGGAATTATATACAGTCAGCAAAAGTCATGGGAACAACTGACCTGTTTATTCTTAATCAATGGGTTGCATGAACAGACTGAAGAGGAGTTTTTTGTAAACTAAATATCTCAGATTTTAAACACAGGCTGACATATTCGGATTTAGTTTTTTGACCGATATTCAACCAATTTCGGGAAATCAGTATAAGATTCGGACATCAATAGTTACTTTTTTGACATTTGATAGACATTGGAATATTACAGTTTGACTATAAATAGTTTCAGATGCTAGAAATAAGAATAAAAATAACTATGATTCTCCTGACCCTAAATTGTTTTGTAGTTAAGATATTTTAAACAAACCAAATAAATATCTCATATTCCAAACTGTTCTTAAAGGGACCCAACCTTAGCTTTGTGTTTCTTTGAGATTGGTACAGGTAGTAAAACCCAACTAGGAAAACATTTTTCACTCAAAAAAATCTATGGTCTAGAGTATTTAAAAGGTGCTGGATTTATTATTTACTTATTTTTTTAGATTTAAACACATTATTAGATACAACTTGGAATCAGGATGGGTGATGTGTACCTTAAAGATTTTTAATCACATTATTTAGTTTCATTTATTGCTTTAGTTTCTAAAATTGACACTAAAAGTAAAACAAAAAAAACAATTCCAAATTGGTCAATGATTTATTTAATCATATTTTTTAAAACTACACGAAACTAAAGACTTTTTCTTGATCACATTAAAGTATCGATTTGTGCGTGCGCCTCCCATTTAATGTGGTCACTTTCTCAGAGCTCCAGAGCGGCTTCTATGTGTAACTGTGGCGTCTGGTTAGTGTTTGGAACTAGTGCCATAATAACGGATTCAGAAATCCAAGCCCAGTCTACAATCGCAGAGATCTTGATAATCCTTCTAAACGACATGTTGCAGCAGATGTCAAAGCAAGGATTTATTTTAATTTCACCTTAGCCTGATGTTTCTGCTGCTGGAGATCATTACTGTCCACATACTTGGTTTTTCCTCATATCTTCATCTGCAGAAGGCAGGGTAGTATGATCTTGTTTAAAGGCACTGTGGATCATTTGGATGACTGCTGCTAAATTATAGTTTGGTATCATGATGGAGTTGGCCCAGATTTGCCAGAGCCTCAGGAACAATTGTAATTGAGGTCAAGAACCAAAAGTACTTAGATGGTTGAATAAAGCGACTTACATTTGTAGGAACTGTAATTTTCTGTAATCAAGGCTTCTAAATGACGCTTATTAAGCATTTGTGGTTTATTTTGCTTTTAAGGGAATTGCATTTTTTTTTGTGCTGCTATTCTTGGAAGAAAATGAGACAGCTTTTTAAGAGGAGCTTGATTCTGGATAAAAGGGGAAACAAAGCAGCAGCAAGTGCCACCTGTGCAAACAAGAGCCTTCTGGTGAAAGATCTACTTTAAAAAGCAGAGCGCCATGTTGGTTGTAACACTATTCACACTGCAGCAAATAAAACGCTCTTCTTTCAGAAGGCGGCACCGATGGAGGCTTCAGTGAAACGTTTAAGAAACGAGCTGTTGGAAGGTGGCTGCAGGGCGGGTGCAGCACATTAGTTGTCAGGCTAATAGAGTGTTGTGTAGACCCCTTGTCAGAAACAGACAACAGAGCATTTGGCTGTCCCCAGACTGCTGCTCGGACAATGGCCCATTGGTATCCCATGAAACGGAGCCTGCAGAGTTCTGACCGGCCCTGCTTAATTAGCTGCAGAGTATATCGCCGTGTCCTGGACCGACGCCACTCTCGGGAGCATAGTTCTGGGGGTTCACAGGCAGGTTTTTCAGAGCTATGAAAAGATCGTCTTTGTGTCTGCAAACTAAGGGCTGATTTTAACATGGCCAGGGACTCATGTTTTTGGAGGGCGTTTACCTTGGCCTCCCCCTAAGTTGAGCCAGCCCTGAAATGTGAAACTTCAGTGGGGTAGAAGGGGGGGAGATGAAGCACAAATTTGTCCTCATTGCTAAACTATAAACCTTTCCCTCTTAAATTCTGATGTGCGCAGCCTTTATTAAGAATTGATTCCCCTTGTATTTTTTTTTCTCATGTTTTTGTTTAATGTAATATTCCAGCATAAAGTAGTGGTCAGCTGTAAAGGAAGGATAGTTGCACATGGTCAAAATATTTTACGTAAGGAAATCTGTGCTGTTGAATGCGGTGTGTGTGTGAGGTAAGGTCAGTGCTAAGCAGAGAAACAGCTGTTAGGTTTCTCTGGAGGGGCTGCAGCAACCTGCAGCTTGGAAACATGGAGTTGGCTGTTGGGATGAATTTCTTCTAGACATCGACCAATTCAGTTTTTTTTAAGGCCAGTGTCCATACTGAATATTTTGACATCAGTCTAACCAATCCCTGATAAGTGCTGCTGGTTCGATAGACATATATTGCTTTATATTCCTCTATTTACATAATAAAAAAAGACATAATGTTGATGAATGTTAGACCGGTCTCGATTTAAACAAAAAGAGGAGGGGGATCGGCAATGCACGCGTCTTACATGGTCTCATTGCATGGCTGCTAAATGCTTGCACGTAGTGGCCGCTACAAGAAGAAAAAAACGTAAAAAAAAAAACTAAATTGATGTATCGATCCATCTGTTCTTCAGCAGAAAAGAAAAAGCTTGGAATAGTTAATGGTAAGATGGTTAAAAAATAAACCGTTTAGAGGTTGCAAAGGATTGTTGACTGGGTTTTTTCAGGAAGGAGTGGTATACAGTTATAAACTTTTAAAAGTTTTTTTTTGCATGATATAGGCCCTGTAAATCTATCGGATAATATGATGCAATGTTTGAAGTTACCATTTGGTGCCATCTGCTACTAAAGGCAGACAGTTGCTTAGTTTAGAGTTTGTTTGTTGTTTATTTCCTGACATATTTTTCTTTTTTTTCCCCCAGCTGACAATCATCTTCAGGAATTTCCAAGAATGCGTCGAGCAGAAAATGTACCATGCAGAGACGGACGACCTGCCAGCAGCGTTCGCTGACGGCTCGAAGAACGGAGGTGACCGCTACGGCGCCAACACTCTGCGAGTGGTGGAGAAGGTTCCCGGGCAGCATGTGGAAATCCAGGCCAAGTACATTGGAACAACCATCGTGGTCCGGCAGGTGGGCCGCTACCTGACCTTCGCCGTGCGAATGCCGGAGGAGGTGGTGAACTCGGTGGAGGAAGGCGACACCCAGGACTTGTATTTGTGTCTCCATGGTTGTCCAGCCAACCAACGCATCGACTTCCGGAACTTCAGAGCCCGGGCGGCGGAGGCGACTCAGGGTGCCAGTAGGACCCGGGGCGTCGCTGGCACACAGGGCTTCACCTACAAGTCGGCAAAGGCCAAGTGCAAAGAACGGCTTCCGGTGGAAGATCTGTACTTTCAGTCCTGCGTGTTTGACCTCCTCTCCTCCGGAGACATTAACTTCACCCTGGCGGCGTACTACGCTTTTGAGGATGTAAAAATGCTCCACTCAAACAGCAACAGGTACCACATCTATGAGAAGGATGCTCTAAGCAGTGCAGTACAGGGGATCAGAGATGTCCTTTCGGTTTTGGTCTTCAACCTCCTGGCCGTTTTACTGTGTGGCACAGTTTTTCTGTAGTTTGTCAGACACGGTGTCCTCATGTCGCGTCTGTCAGTGAAAGTAGAAGTACCATTTCTGTGTCGTATATCATCCTCTGCAGCAGCTCATTTTGGTGGTTCTGATGTCTGCCTGATGACAAGGTGACGCTCACCACTCTCTCACCCGCTTGTCATCACATGCATTTAGCTGTTTTTACTCTTTGAAGAGAGCTAAGAGCTCAGGATGTCCACCTGGGATTAAAACGTATGAATAACCCTCAAGATGATCTTCTGCAGAAAGAGGGCTCCGCTGATCCTCCCTCCTCTGATCCACGCATCAGTGCCAGGGCCAGCCGTGGCTCCTGCGGCTGAGCGGGGGGGATTGGAGAGAGGGCGGGGATTGGGACCTGACAGGGGGCTTTTGTTAACCTAAGGCCAGAGGCAGCTCCATGTTTGATTAGTTTCCAGCTTTGGAAAAGCCTAAGATTTTGATGGGGAGCTCCCAGCCAAAAGGATGTCAGAGCAACGTCTCCAGTTGTCTGCAGCGTAGATTAATGAGTCATATTGTTAGGTTGTGTGTGTGTGTGCATTAGTACAACATGTGTGAATAATCCAGCATCTGTGGTTAATTTGGAGTTCTTTTGAGAGCAGGATTTTCCATATATTTATACATATATATGGAGAGAGTGAGAGAGAATGTGTTGCTCCAAGAATTTTTTTGAGAGACATAAAAGACAAAGCAGCCTCCTTCTGCCAAATTGCTAACTGGAATTAGTAGAAATGTGTCGTTTATCCGTAACACACAACCGTTCTTTCTATTGTTTAAGCTGACAGTGTTTGTCTTTCAAGCCTGAGAGCAGGAGAGAGAACCAGCGTTAGTGTCGCTGTGGAGGAGGTAGATCAGCCCATCGGGCTGTGACAGCTCCATGTTAACAACGATAAAGATGGTGGCTGTTTCGACTCAGCAGACGTCACCTCTGGTTAGCTTTAAGCACTTGCAGACCGAGAACTGACTGAGTCACAGCGGCTGAACAATAAGCACATCTGTAAGAGAAGGGGGGGAAAAAAGGAAAAGGTGATCTCATGGCAGAGTTTGTTGCCAAAGTACGCCCCACTGTGCCAACGTTTGCCTCCTCACATCTGATTTTTCAGCCTCAAACTCTTCACATTAAGGGAAACTTCATTGTATATAAACTCGTGTTTACCATACAGTGATGAAATACAGCTTCTTTTTTTCTTCCTGGTGTGTTCGTGTTATTACATGCTCCTCGTTGGAAGAAGTCTTTTAGCTGCAGCATCTGATCCGTGTTGTTGAAGCCCTCTGGGCTTTACGGTCGTTTATCGTTTACGCTGAAGTATCGCCAGGCCTCTTTCACTGCTGTTCTGAATATGTCTTCTAAATACGCTCCAACAAGAAAAAACTAGTGTTGTTTAACTTTTTGTTAATAGGTGTAACTGTGTTTTACAGTCTCTGGTTCTACTTGTATTCTGTGAGAATTGTACATACATTTTTGTGCATTGTTGTGTTGAGATTTACATATTACAGATTTTTTTTCAAAGTTATCCCTTCAGATTTGTGCAAAAAATTTTTTTAGGTGAATGTGAGCCTCTTATTCTGAAAAAAAAAAGTTTTTTTATTATTGTTTTTCAACACAAATGCCACAGAGCTGTCTTAAAGACGGCACACCTTAACCGAATGAGTCTCTCACTTGTTTAGCGTAGATGTTTTCACTCAGCTCACCTTCCTGAAAAAAAAAGAATGTAGGACACTGTTCTGTGGCATTTGTATGTTTGAGTTTGATGCACTTTATGTTTTGTTTTTTTTTTCATTCTGATGTTTTAAACGAATTGTACAAAATAGCTGACCGGGATAGGCCAGAAAGATCAAACTGTGTAAATCTTATGTGGTTCCACATGCCAACTGTTGATAATGTAAGTTATTTATTGAATAAAAGAGAAAGTCTTGTCTATGAGCTGCCTTCCTTTGTCTCAGTGCTGTTCAAGTGAAAGCATTATTTGAAAAAAATCCCTTTTTGCTCAGAATTTGCAGTATTCAGCTGCCCCCTGCTGTTAAGAGTTGGAGTGGAGATACTGGATGTCTTAACCTTCCTCTTGTGTTAGCTTTCTGCTGCCATCTGTAGTGTTAGCGGGTCATTTTGGACCCGAGTATTAAATCAGCCATAAAATACCCTAAAAACAATCTTTCATCATCCAATGTTTTTCTTAACGCTTGTTTAGCTGATTGGGCTCCCTTATCTATTAAAAGATTGGTTTTAATATTTTTTGTGGCCCCCTGGGCCTTTGTTTTAGCAGCATACCCCTCGTTTTCAATGTCTAAAAAGTGGTCAAATTAACCTTAAGAGAAGAAGGCAACAAAATAATCAGTTGTTCTGTTACCTGAGTGCAACTGAGAGATATTAAAACACATTTCATAAATGTTCAACAAAAAAAAAAGATTTTAATTTTAATATTATCAAATATAGTAACATCTATGGTGTTTCGGGTCATTTTGGACCCGTATATATTTACTTCAAAAAAAGGGCAAAAACAAGTCTTTTTTTCCCACACAATAGAACTTGAATACAATATTTATATTTGTGTATATTTACACTTTTGGTGTGTTCTTTGCAGATATATTTGTTGCAGGTGAAGCACACTATGTAGGTTTTTCTGTCCATATTGCTAGGGCAGACCTGACACCTCTTTCTTTTTGAGCGAGGTGGTCTCACTGGCATTGTGGCTGTGGATGGAGTGCTTGAGGCAGGGCTGGCATCAGAGGGGGAAGGTGATGCTGATGCTCTTCTTGTTGCTGTGGATGTGGATGGCATGTTTGGTGACCACTGCAGCTGTCTGACCAAGTCTGCAGTAGCTGGGTCTCGGGGCACCCGTTCCCATTGCTCAATGTGCGGCTTGACAAGGGAATTCACGAGCTCCTCAAGAAACATTCTCCACTTAGTGTTTTGGGTTGAATTCCACCCTTGGTGAATATGGGTCCACAACACAAATGCATTGTATGCAGACACTATTGAGGATGTTGTAAAACACAACCATTGGCCATCTCCTGGTCATTCGCTGGCAATTGTAGGTGGCAGTCAGCTTGTCCAGATTGTCCACTCCTCCTGTCCTTCACCAGCCACATTTCAGCGGGCAGCTCAGGTTTATTTTTTTTTATGGTGCCCACCATGGTGAGTTTCCTCCCTAGAAGTTCTTGTCCAAGGTCATAGCATGTAAAAAAATTGTCACAAGTGATGTTGTGACCCTGCAGTCCAGTAGTCAAATCGAGGACTACCCGTTTTCCTTGGTTTTTACAGGGATGCCGCTTGCAGATTTTCCTATGTAAATCTGTAGGTTCCACTCATAGCTTGTTTTAGCATCACAGGCTGCCCAGATTTTTATGCCATATTTGCCTGGCTTACTGTGCATGTATTGCTGGAACGGGCATTTTCCTCAAAAAGGGAGAAAACGTTCATCCACTGTCACCTCTGGCCCTGGGTTGAACATCAGTGGAAGGAGTTGCACCCATCTCTCCCAAACATCCCTGATGGGAGCAAGCTTGTCAGATTTTGCTCTGGTGTATCGATTGTCAAATCTGAGGACTCTTGAGATCATCTGAAACGTCCAAAGAGACATTGTTGCCGGTTCTCAGAGGCCTGCTCATCTCCATCGCTAAAATCCTGTGTGTCCTCTGCCTCATTTGCAGCAAAGATGTGATCCAAAGCTTTATTTACAGTGAATCTTCTCCTTATTGTTGCATCCTGTGAATTGGCGATGTGTACTCCTCAAGTCACCACCTCTACATTCAAATGGCTTGACAAGCCTGGACATGTCTCCCTTTGTTTGTTTTCGCAAAAAGGCAAAGACAAAAAGGCCCTAAATTAAGCTCAAGTGGTTGGAGGAAGAGCCTGTTGGTTGATTGTGTGTTCATGATTACATTTTAGGCATTTTTTTTATTGTTTTATAATCAAAAATTGTAACCGGGTCACAAATGACCCGAACACCACAAAAGTCATTTTTTTCACCAGAGCACTTTATAATTTAGTAAAAAAATAAAATTTGATTTTACTTTGTTAAAATGGAAGTCCTTGACAAAGTCAAAAAGTTTCAATGCAAAAAACAAATGTATGATGTACTTTTATGCATGCTAAAACTCAAAACGGGTCCGTAGGGACCCTAACACCATAGGAAGGTTAATATACCAAATATAGATATGGACAAAATTGTTTGTATCCCTCATTTAAACGTATATTGGCAGATTTCGATGATTTTTTTTTTTTTAAAAGACCTGCCCTCTCCTTTAAAAAAATAATGCACATACCCAACCTTGTATCAGCTCCTGAGAGGGAACGTCTGTTAAGCGCGTGCAAGAGCATACATGAGCCCATTACTCTTTGTATACGCTCTGTATAAAAGTTCCTGTTTGCATCACTCATACAAGCTTACTTTCCAAAGAAAGAAGATTTGGAATTTTTCCGCTGTCAGACTCACAACCGGTAAGTGAAAATGAGGACAAGCATGTAGGAAGGCCTTAGTAAACATATGTCCACAATGATTGACAATTAGAAGGACCACTTGTATTGATGATCTACCCGGAAAAAGAACATCATTCACTATACCTTTAATGGAAGAAAAAAAAACTGGGTCACACAAGTAGCCTAAATCTGATATAAATAATAACTATTCCATGAAAATGACTGAAAGAAATTCAGACATTGCTTTCAATCATGCTTTAAAGGAATAATTAAACAGGCCTGGACAAAGAAAAGACTAAAATTAATTTGGCCAAAAGGACTAGTTAAATCAATGTGTGTCTAATTATTCTAATCTGTCTAAACTCTTGTAATCAATCAGAGGCCCTATATTTAGGGCTACAGATAGTCACTGTACTGTTTGGTGACATGGTGTATACCACACTCAACATGGACCAGAGAAAGTGAAGGAAAAAGTTGTCTCAGGAGATTATACAAATTATAGACAAGCATGTTAAAGGTAAAGGCTATAAGATAATCTCCAAAGCAGGTTGATGGTCCTGTGACTACAGTTGCGCATATTACTCAGAAATGTAGGATCCATAGGACTGTAGCCAACCTCCCTGGATGTGACCAAAGGAGGACAACTGATGGCAAATCAAAGAGGTGGGTGATATGAATGGTAACTAAGTAGCCCAACAAACTTTCTAAAGACATTAAATGTGAACTTCAACCTCAAGGAACATTTGCGTCAAATCACAATTTCTGTGTTTGTTTGAGCAAAAGTGGACTAAATGGGAAATGACCAAGGGGGACACCATAAAGCTTATGGGAGAATGGCCTATGGACAAATGAGACAAAATGTGAACTTTTTTCTTAGACATGTCAGCTCTACGCTGACAGACAGAAAAATTACCCAAAAACATTATTTTTACTTTTTCTTTTAAGAAAGTAACACTGTTCCTACTGTGAAACACAGAGGAGACTCTGTTATGCTCTAGGGCTGCTTTGCTTCATCAGGCACAGGATGTCTTGAATCTCTGCAAGGTACAAAGAAATATCAAGACAATTTAAGGGATTCTAGAGAGAAATTTGCTGCCCAGTGTCAGAAAGCTTGGTCTCAGTCGCAGTTCATGGGCCTTGTAGCAGAATAACCACAAAAGCACAGTTAATAACACCCAAGAAAACATTGGATTATTCTGAAAAGGCATTCTATGAGCCCTGATCCTTTTGAGAATATTTGGAGGACGGCCTTCAAACCTGAGAGAACTGGAGCGGTTTTATCATGAGGAGTGGGCCAAAATACCTGCTGAGAGGAGCAGGAGTCTCAATGACAGTTACAGGAATCGTTTGATTGCAGTGATTGCATCAAAAGGTTGTGACATAAAATATAAAATTAAGATTACCATCATTTTGTCTAGGCCTGTTTGATTTCCAGTTGGTTGAAAAGCAATTCCGTAAAAATTCAAAAAATATCCACTGGACTTGGTTTTCAATGTCTGACTTTCATTTGTTTATTTTCATAGCATTTTTATCGCTATTGACAGATTTAAGTTATTTCTGAGAATATTTTTTTTTTTTCCTTTAAACAATTGGTACCAACAACTTTTTCCATGTGTGTGTCTATTTTCATACTAAAATATGACTTTTTACAAGGATATACTCCAGTTTCCAGTCACTATAAACAATAGCTTGGAGCAGAGAGACTGCTTCAGATTCCTACAGAGGCAAGATTACTTCAACAAACAGTGCAAAATTGCTCATCTTGAACCAGAAAAGTATTTCTTCATAATCATTAGTGATATATGAAGGCTCCTTGAAAAAAGCAATCTACAAGTTATATAACGCTCTTTTACCAGCAAGAAAACACTAAACATCTAGTCACAAAGGAGAGTTAAAAATCTTGAAATCACATCACTAGAAGCTACTTTTAGTCTTAAGGTTTCTTTGTGAATCCATGCCCATCTCTCTCCAAGACTTAAAACTATAATTACATTCAGGAAAATTAGCTTTTCCCTAAATCCTTGTTTTCCCACATCAGATCTGAGGGCTGTCAGATAAAAGAAGACCATTTGTTGTGTAACAAAGTTTATTACATATGTCAGAACATATGTACATGACATTTCTCATGAGTGGTTTTGTCACAAATATAAATTATTTAGACTTTCTTACAGAACATATAATACAGGAACTGTAGTTTGTTTTGAAGCGGAAGAAAAACAAGAGCTGTGTTCACTGTAACAAGTTGACTGTAAGTGCCCAAGGGGAAAAAAGAATAAATCCAAACACTTTATATAATAGTTTCAACCATTTCTCCCTAAAATCAACAGTTCTAGTAGAAATCTACATGAACTCCAAGAATTATGTTATCCTTTCTTCATTTTTTTAATTGATTTATAATTTAGCCAAGTGCGGCAATTTTCCTAATCTGTTGGTAACGTTCATGAACTAATCTGCAATCTGATCCTACAATCAGAAACAGGACTTGAAGAAGCGCAAAGACACCAGAATAAAGATGGGATAAAAGCAGATTTGGCACAGGAGGAGTAACCAATTTAATGACAATGGCAGTGCACATCCATCTGTGAGCAGAAAGGGGTTCCTGTGTCCATTACTTCAAGAAGCAAAGTACCATTTCTAAACCATCACAATACTGTAAGGTGTAATAAAGGATTGTTTGGATTTATAGTGTTATGAACCTCTGAAAAAGTCATAATAAATACTGCTTTGATAGCTTCAATATTGGCGAAGAAGGAAGTTAAAGTGAACAGCGCAGAAGGGGTTGCAGTGACTTGAATCGATACACGATGAAAGAAATCAAACATAATTGTACACGAGAAATGTGAACCTTATAAAAAAACAAAAAACTAAACATTTTAAATGTTCTGTTGAGTGGCGCTGGCTCGTTTGAGCAGATTTCCAGCAACCTCAGAGGAAATCCTCTTCATCTGCACGGTGAAAACTTCAGGATTCTCTTCAGCTACATGATCAACATGTTTCCAAGGTGCAAATGATTAACACATTCAATTTCTGATGACATCTTTTTTGCAATACTTAAAGCTAAGCACAGAAAAAAACAAAAACAAAGTGTCCTTGGTTGCTCCTGGAATATTCCCGCTCTTCTCCCCTTCGGAAGGCCAACACTTTCAGGCACTTTTAGGATTGAGATCATTCATCAGTTCTTGGATCCACATTTTCCTTGTAATAGTCCATGGGACTAAGCTTTCAGTCGTTCCACTCAGTCGAAATATGATCGACTGAGGCAGCAGGTCATTTAAATAAAGACACACAGCTTAGTTTGTTTCCATCCCATAATCACAAACACTGGGAGAAAGTTTGCTGGTGGATTTAAACGTTTTGATTCCCTTTTTTAACAGTTAGCTCAAAAGCAGAGACCCCCCCACCCCCTCCCACCCCACACGTCTGTCAACAGCAGCATGTGGCTTCCAGCCTGGAACAAAGGTCCAGATGAGTTCCTGAGGCTTTATGTTTTCCTGCTGTTCCAGTTGGGGTCCGCCATAATGCCGGGATCCATGGGACGCTCCAGCGGGGAGCGGGAGTCCTGGGGAGACTTCTGAGCCTGAGGGGAGCGGGGGTCCAGCAGAGGAGGAGGCTTGTCGGGGTGGAACGGCCGGTTGTAATGCTCCGGCCCCGATGGACCTGGCGGTCTGTGGTCCGGCATCCTTCTGAAGTCATGCGAAGGGCCGTCCCGTCCCTGGTGGTAGCTGGGATGAAAATCATCAGGGCGTCTTCGTTTGGGGTCCGGATGCCTGAATGATATCACATAGGAATAATATTTAAAACTGAAAAGGATGTGATTGTTAAGCTTAAAACAAAGATTGGCAGAATAGGGTTACCTTCAATGTGTTTGTTCATATCAATGACTTAGAACTGGGGAACACAAACATTTCAGCCTGTGACCCCAAAACTAAGAGTCAGAGACACCCATTAATGAATCATTTTTTCCCATTTATTTAGTTTTTAAAAAATGACAATTTAATCACTAATATAATTAAAAAATACATATCTAATGAGAAAATTGTGCATTTTATGCATATCATCTATTGAGACTTTTATTAAATTCATTACCATCTATCTTATTTTGTCCCTTTATACACCTAAAGGCTCACATGACAACCTCTCATTTGGTGCCTTATGACCCCCATATCAATTCAAAATGCAAAACTCATATTTTCTATATCCAGTGAAATATTTCAGGGAATCATTTCTGATAATAAAGATAACCTACAACATCACTCTGAGAGAGCAGCACATTCTGGCCCATATTGTGACCTACAACCCTAGCTAAAAGTAGCACATGATCTGATTCATTACCAAAGTTTAATGAATTGTTCCTTGGCATGAAGCGCACCTCTGGTAAACATTTCCATAAAATCTGTTCAAGTTTTCAAATTATCCCACTAACAAACCAACAACGTTCTCTTTTCTTGTGTTTTTGTCTTCAGTAAAATATCTCTGGACTTTTTGAGTCTGATGCTGTCAATAGTCACTGCTGCCACCCTCTGGTTTAGGGGGGAACTGCTTGTTCTGCCAAATGTATCTCAGAATGTTTAAAAATCTTTAAAACCAAAAAATGTATCTAGATTATAATCTGGGTCAACACCAACATTGGGACACTTCTGCTAAAATTTTCATTAAAATCCATCCATAACTTTTCAAGTTATCCTGTACAGAGATAAATTAACAAGAAAGAACACAAGATGAAGACGAAGAAGTGTTGATGCAGTCCCTGCTGACATGCTACCCTGAGCAGATGTCAGGGTCATTAGGCTGATGGTGTAAAAGGTCTCATCTCACCTGTCATAATAGGGCCGGTGACCCCTGTGGTCCCTGTCGTTGCCGTATTGGTCATACGGCCTTTTCCGAGGAGAGGTGTTGTTGCGGTACCCGCCTGAGCTGCGATACGTGTCTCCGTGCGGACGCCGATCTCCATAGTGATCCTTGTTGTAGCGATGAGGGTCGTAGGGATGGTGGCGGTCTCCCTGCCAGGGCTGGTTACTGTTTCCTTGGTAGCCGTATTTACGGTCCCTCGGCCAGTCTCCTCGATCTGAGACAAAAAAAAATGAAAAACATTTCACAAATGAGGTCTGAGTTTTATGATTAAAAAGCATCATCAAAGCTTTAGTTAAAGGCACCATTGTTGCTGAAGTGTCGTTTGTTAGCAGAATTGTACGGCTCCCTGTGGTGTCCATGGGGTCCTGACTGACTCGGGGGAGGTGCAGGTTTGGAGGACGGGGTACCTGTGGAGTCTCTGCTGGAACTCGAAGGTTCTGGTCTGAAGGATTTTATCCTCCCTGAGGGGTCCTCCTTCTTCTTGTGCTCCTTCTGGAAACGTCACATCGTATTTAGTGGAGGCACCACCTCATGTTATCGCCGGTATAATCTACAACTTACCTCTTCATCATGCGATCGCTTTTTCTGAGCCATTTTGTAAAGCTTGTGGAGCTTTCTGGCACTAAACTCTGTAAACTTTGACACAAAAATCCAGAGATTCCTAAAAAAAAGAAGGGAGAATGATTCCAACAGCTAAAGAGAGGAGTGAGATGTTAGCCAAGATATAGTCAATCTTTTTTTTCTTTCCTACCTGCGCCATATCTTAACATGCTCGGGGTCGCTGTACGCTTTAAGGCACTCAGTGATTCGGTCTCCGATCTTCAGCAGGCATGTGCGCGTGTGCTGGAGCTGGTCCTGGTCGGACAGACCTTCATCGGGTTTGTCCAGCTGCTTTAGGGCCTTTTTCACGGGCCTCATGCGCTCCTTACACTGCACACAAACAACCTTCATTAATGCTCTGAAGGACCATTAAACTAAAACTAGCTCATCTCACTCGCTGCTCCACCTACAATGCTAAAGGTTTCCTGGTCAAGTTCATCGTCCTCCTTTCCTTCGATGGGAACAGGCTCAGAACCGGCTGTGATGTGAACCGGACCTTGGGTTTTCTTTCCTTTGGCTCTTTTAGCCTAACGGGCAAAAACAAACAAACAAACAAACAAAAAAAACAGCAAAGGATTACCCTGAACTTTGAAATTTGTTGCTTTCATTTATTTAAAATTTTCAGGGTCAGGTTTGTACATACCTTCTCCTTTCTGGGCTTGGCGGTCTTCTTCTCCTTGTCTCCATCTTTTTTAGGTGTTCCCTGTTTTTCTTTGTTCTCCTTGTTATCTTTCTTCTTTTGTCTCTTCTTCACAGGAGACTTCTCCGCTCCCTCTTCCTGCTTCCGAACACAAAAAAGAGGCAAAGAAAGCAGGTAGAAGGTTAAAGGATGCAGGTGTTCGAAAGAATTAAAACTGAGAGGGACTTTTATTTAAGGATGATTCAGACATCAAGTGAAAACATTTTCAAAACTCAAAATGAATCATTAACCTAATAATGTGGTTTAATCACTGAGGATTTCATAGATAAAACTGATTTACTGTTAATGTGTAGATAAAAGGGAAAAACTGAAGCTGATATTTTTCATTCAAAATTGATTTTTAAAAATCCTTTCATGAAATTGGACTGTTACAGGGAACCATATCTGAACCCAACAGAAAATCGTTTTAAATAAACTCTTATCAGAGAAAACTAGTGGTGATCTTTTGAGTACGACTCACCTTAACCTCTCCTTCCTCTGACGGATTATCGGACAGCCGCGGAGACGAGATCTCGTTGCCCTGTTCGTCTTTCAGAACCTTCGCTTCCTTCTTAACTCGGGGCTTCCTCTTCTTCACTTTAACCTTGAAAGAAGACGCCAGAAAAGTAAAGCGCTGTAAATTAAAACCCAAAGTAAATTCTGGATAAAATGACCATTTGAATAACAGCAGCGAACCTCGTCTCCTGCTTTGGACACAGAGGTGTTGTCTTGCTCTTTTTTCAGCAGCTTCAGCAGATACTCCGCTCTCGCCTGCAGCTGTTTGCCCTGAGGCTTCTTGTTTGGGTCGTCTGGAAGAATCTGGACATGAGGATAAATAATATTAGCCAATAAGTTCTTCCTCTATTCTGGTGATTTTTCTTTTTTTCAAATAGAGCTGTTAACCATAGAGCTCACCTATTACTGTTACGTTTGCTAACATGGAGAATGGAGGTTTTAAAGTGATTGGATTATTTAGCAGGCCAGTGCAGGTGTATCTAGCACGCCATTTATATTCTCTGTGTTACTTTAGAAACAGCAGAACAGGAACAGAACATATTCTGTGCAAAAAGACCAAACTGTTGCAGCTCTTCCCTTAGATTGATAGATAACAGCATTTCTTTTTTTGGTTCCACTAATTTCTGGTTCCACTAATAAAGCTAATTTTCTGATTTGAATTATTAAGGGGATTTGATGAGCCGCTCCCTTTGAAACATCTGAAGAAACTAAAACCCCATTGTCACTACCCTTTTAAAACCGTGCAGAGATCCGTCCCAGTACGGTAACTGAGATAACTGTTGACTGTAAATGGCACGCAAGACTGAAAAGGACCGCACTAGACACAACCGAACTGTGCTAAACTGCTACTAGTTCATCAGTAGGGCTCGGCCAAGTTCAGTTCTGGCTCAGTTCTCAGGTAACAGAGAACGCATGAGCAGACCACGTCATCTCCTTACATTCAGCCTCCGTAATCATGACATTTCAGAGATTCCTAAAAATACAAGCTTCCCTACAGTGCCAGACAATTTCCAGTGATGATTCTGCTTAGCAGTGTGATGAACCTCAACATCTGTCGCTGTTTCCTGCGTCTGTAAGCCCCGATTAGACTATAGTTTGTCGTATGCACACTCTCAAGTAAATTCACCGAAGGCTGCCTTCTTTGCCTGACTCTCTGCAAACTTCCTGAATGTTATGGGCGCTGCCATGTTGATTTGCTTGTTTCTGTCTAGAGAGCAGTAGCACAAATGTGCTAAACGTGGTGTATATGTCGTAAGGAACAGAGGGTAGTGGGTAGTTTTAATGGGACTAAAGAGAAGGTCTGTAAAATCTATAAGTCTTTGACCTTTCAATGAATGGTTCGTTGAATTTAAAATAGTCTGGAGATCAAACACATAAAAAACTCTTCCTCAGTCTTTAGTTAGTGATTGAAAACCCAAAATACTGATGGATCAGGGTTGGATGGCGTTTTTCTCCAGGATTTTTCCTTTCAGTTACTTCTGGAAGAAACTTGGAAGGTCAAATTTACTGGAAAGTTTTGTTTCTTATGGTGAATATTATGCCTTAAGCACGCCCAAAACCAGTTATAACTTTGAGTCGGGGTTCAATATCTATAAACCAGGGAGGTTTGGGGGCATTAATAGCAGAAGAAATGAAAGCAAAAGAAAGCTAGCTGGTGTAATCTGAGTATACAAGGAAACATTTAAAGGCTATTAGTAAATTATTACTTCTGTATTAAATATGTGATTTCCTGATGGGTTTTTCCCTTATTATATAAATTCCTAATTTGTGTTACTGTGTGAATTCCCATAAAGATTTCTCCTTATGTAGCCTGGTTGATATAGTCAGTTGACTTTTCAATGGAACTATCCCAGTTCTCCAAAATATGATCCATTACCAAGACTGTTTCAGTTTCTTCGAAAAAGAAATAGAAAAAAAAAAAACTTATTCTGGAAGAAACTCAACCCTGTGATGATGCATTTTAAAATCAACATGAAGATCAAATTGAACTCAGTTTCACCCGCAGTTTTCAGTAGCAACATCAGTTTTTACCGTAACGCCAAGTAAAGCTCTTCATTCAGCCACTATGATTGGAATCGTTGGGTAACTTTACCTTATCAGCCAGCTGAAGGTCGGGATCCGTCTTCATCAGGTCCCAGTTCCCAAAGCCGTGCTCATAGATGCCGAGGAGGAGCTGAGTGTCATCCTGCAGATCCCATTCCACATCAAAGTGGGCAACTTTCACTCTGCATGTAAGCTTAAACCTAAATGAAGAGACTGTTTTACTTTAATCTGAGCAACAGAGATAAACTTTGCTGAACACGTTTAATCTGACAGTTTCTTACTTGTTCCGCTCAGCAGGGTTGGAGGGCACCACTTTGTGAAGCGGCTCAAACTCCTCCTCATGCTGAATGATCGACTTGGCGTTGACCTGGACTCCTGATATCTTAATGTTGATTCCTCTGCGTTTCCCAGGACCTTTAGCTGGAATACAAACAGGACTTCTTTACTATTTTTCCAAAGAAAACAGTTAAAGTTTTATTTCTGGAAAAAACACAACCGACAAACCTTCGACGGGATTCTCTTTGAGCTGCTCTTCATGTTCCTGAACTGCTGTCACACAGCTGGAGTGAATCAGTTCCCCCAGCCTCTTCAGGTCTGCAATCGATTTGTCCACAAGCTCCGAGTCTCGGGCGATTGCCTCCAACCTGGACGCAGGAATTATGTTGTTTAAATCTTAAACTGTTTAAATCCGGCTGATGTTTTGTCTCTGATGAAACGTACCTTTCCAAAGGAGCTCCAAACTTCTTGTATGCCTTAATGAACCTGAAAAGTGGTAAAGGAATGTTTTTAAAATTCTCCTAAAAGCAGCTAAATATCTGTATTGATTAATATGAGACACATCTGAGAAGCTCACCTGCGAATTTCTACATCTGTGAAACCCTCCACGTTGTTTTTACGAGCTCGAGGTCTGCCTCTTTTCTTTGGCTTCTTGTCGTCGTCACTATCATCCGTCTCACTGTCTGAGCCGGACGAACGCTGCTTCAGCTTCGAGCCCACGTCGCTGTCGCTGTCATTGGCTTGAGCCTGATGAAAAACAAACAGACAGTCGTGTTTTAATAAGTCATGGTAGCTTAGATCTAGGCTCATTGGCCGCATAATCCTACCCTCTTGTTGGAGCTCCTGCTCCGGGGCAGCATAAAGATGTCCTCCATCTCTCGCTGCTTCTCCTCCTCCTCGATTTTGCGCCGCTGCTCTTCGGGAATGATGTCGTCCCATTCTCGGACCGGCCTCTCATCAAACTCTGGAGTAGTTTCTTCCATACTAGAGAAGTTAGCCACCTGAAAACAAGGATACAAAATTAGGGAATTTGTTCTTTCTTTTTTAGGAAAAGAACAACAGTCTACGCAGGCACCTTGAACTGAGATAGAAGCTCATCTGTGGCGCTGGAGCCTTGATCGGTTTCTCTTGTTTCAGCCAACCTCAAGATCTCATCAATATCCATCTCCTGCAAAGATAAGAAAATCTGTTGTATAATCCTGAACATGATAGATTACAGATCAAATTATGGGATCCACCTATTATCTAACCTGTGGTTCAGATTCCTCTCCCTCGGCCTCTTTGAACAGATCTTCAGCCCCAAATTTAAGAATAGCTGTAAGTTCCTCTTTATTAAAAGGGTTTGAACTGCAAAAACAAAAAAACAACATGGTTTAAGAAAAAAGTTACAGTTAAAATATTTTAAACAAGAGTAAATCAGCAGATTTTAAAATCTTACTTTGAGTTTCCTGAGTTGTTGTCCAGAACCGTTCGCCCTGTGGTGTCCATTCTCTGAATGACCAGATGGTCTAAAACCATCTTCTTCTTTGCCCTCTCGATGATGTCCTCCTCCACGGTTCCTTTGGTGACAAGCCGATATATATTCACCTGTGAGGAAACAAGTTAGAATAGAACAACCTTAGTGGTTCCCTTTTAATAAAGCAACGATTAATGGACGTTTATATTGGGTTTATTTTATAACCTTTATGATTTAGATTTAATCGACTAAAAATAACTGATGCATAATTAACAGGGTCTAATATTAGAGTTCTCGAAAATTCACACAGGATCCAATATATTTAGCATCACAGGTTACTGCCACCAGGTTTAGCAAGCTTTTAAAATCTGGACTTTTAAGCCTAGACTTTTCTGAAGAATCTAGAGGCAGATAAAGATTTTCTCTTTCATGTTTTAAGTAATGATTGAATATCAGCCAATATTTGCCTTCTGATTGAACAATCTGCATCATAACCACAGCTGCACAGATTCAAGCTCCCATGAATCAAGGTTCCTTGATTGTTTTTATCTGTATTTAGTAAGACAAATGTTTTTTCCTCTCTAAATATCACGCATTAAAACTATAGACTTTCACCATTTTTGGTATCATTTATTAACCTGAAACCTTCCGTTGCAGTAATTTTGAGAAGGGGCGAAAATACTGGTTAGCTGATTGGCCTATGTTGGTGATAGACGGGCCAAATAAACCAATCAGATCAACAAAGCATATGACGTACTAACAGACCGACCAGTCGGGAGAAGAGCAAAAACATATTTTCCTCTGAGAAAAGCCTCCAGAGCAGTGTTTTGCTCTTCTTTCAGTGAAGAAATACTTTGTAATTCCGATAAAACTTGCTCGATAGCCACGCTAATGCTAGTTTCATCGGCTGAAGCCACCATGTTCTTTAGACTGAACTGTCGCGCTTCTCGTTGCGTCACACCTCAATCCGCCTCAAAGCCAACGCTGATTGGACGTTCGTTTGGTGAACGGCTCCAAATTTCCTTCAACGGAGAGTCTCCAGACCGATTAGCGAGTGAAATCTTGAAAGCTTGCGAGATCAGGATGGTCTCACGAGGCTAATCATTTATCTCAATCCAGTTTTTTTTCAGGAAAGTGTCTATCAATGAATACATGAAAAGGAGCTAATCTCTGCTGTATTCAAAACTACAGCAGGTGAGTTTTCGAATGAAAAATAAAGTATCAGCAAAGAAAAGTCTGATCATGCGTCTCTAATCATGAGGTTTAGTTTTCTCACTATGTAAAAACTAACCTAAAGCCCCAGCATCAATTACAAATCAGGAAACAAATGGCATCAGCTGCACTTTTAAACATTATAAATTGATAAGTGGAAAAGAACTTCAAAGAAGAGAGAATGCATATACAGATCTATTAAAGGATAACAAAATGTTAGACCCATGATTGGACAACTCTGACTCCCTGTAATTAGCCCTAAATTACCTGCTTTTTCTGTCCGATCCTATGGGCTCTGGCCTGCGCCTGCAGGTCGTTCTGAGGGTTCCAGTCTGAGTCGAATATAACAACAGTATCTGCTGAGGCCAAATTAATACCTAAACCTCCGGCTCTGGTGGATAGCAGGAAGCAGAAGTCCTGCAAACAAAGCGACACATCAGCAACACATCAGTGTTGTTAAATTTTCGTTCTGAATGAGAAGCAAAAGGCTTTAACGATATGACTCCAGAGAATATATTATTTAACTCTTCAAAAGTCTTCTTAAGATATTTTAAAATGCAAAAAAACATCTAAAAGAAATGGAAACTTTTATCGGTAGTATATAATTAAATGTATGCATACCTCTGAGCCCTCAGCATTGAAGTGGTCGAGCGCTTGCTTTCGGATTTCTCCCTTTATGGAACCATCCAGACGCTGCAAACGGAGACATTTCAATATTAACTCTTTTCTGGTTCAGCATCTGCTGACTGCATGCAGGGACCACCGTCCACAACAGAGTCAGACAGGGACGGATTCGGGGGGGGGGAACAATCCAAGTCAGGTGACTTGCACAACTCCTGCTGGTCTGCTGCAGCAAATAACTTGTAGATATAAATAAACTGAGGCTGTGTCCAACAACACTGACACCCGAGCTTCATCTAAGACTTATCTGCAGAGTGCAACCTTTAAAGGACCCTTCACTGTAAACATGAACACAACCGGAGTCAAAAAGCTAAGATCTGCTTCAGGAAAGAAGAACTGGTTCTTTTTTTTTATTTATTTATTTTTTTTATGGACACAAAAATAAGCTTTATTTTAAACCAGGACGGAATGAGGGATATATTTTAAATATGTTCCTAACACCATGCATTAAACCACCTTATACTGGGAAAACTACTACATTTTAGACACTAGCATTACTGAAAATATAAAAAAAGGGCTATCTAATCGATTGGGTGTTAAAAAAGTAGAATATGGATGAACCCCTGGTTGGTCCAAATCTCACCTGGAAAGGATATCGCCTCTTCGTGAGATACTCGGCCAATATGTCCAACATCCTGACCATTTGGGAGAAGATAAGGACTCTGTTGCCTCTTTCCCGGAGTCGGGTCAGCAGCTTGTCAAGCAGAACCAGCTTCCCACTGCCTCTCACTAAAGCCTGGAGGAGAGGAAAAGGAAAAACATAAAGAGTATTTCCTCTAACCTGAAGTCTCTAACAATGTGTTTGTCCAATTTCAGACAGCATAGAGTGCCTTTGTATAGAAAAAAACCGCATAGCAGAGATGGGGGATCTGGAGTCAACAAGTCATTTCTATGTCATGTTTTTGTTCTACCAAGCCACTGAACCTGGTGAGTTCAATTTGCATACTGGTTTAGTGGCTGGGTAGAACAAAAACATGACATAGAAATTACTTGTTGACTCCAGATCCTCCATCTCTGACGCCTAGCATGTGTTACAGAAGCATCCTGAGGAGATGCTTGGAGCTGAAGGAGGTTCAGGGTGAGACAAACCTGCAGGCATTCCTGCTGCGTTTCACTCTCTGCCTCCTCAGGCTGCCTAATGAGGAAACTATGGTTGCAGCACTTTTTAAGCTCCATCACGATGTTTAAGAAGCCGCTGGAGCTGCCGCGGGTGCCTTTGGAAAGGGCTTTGTAATTTCTTGTTAAAATCCACCTGGAGAACAGGGAAGACAAATTCAGCTGTGATAATTTTTTGATCATTTATGGATACAATTTATTTCTGCATTAATTAAATCCTTACTTGTAGAACTGCTTCTGCTGTGCAGACATGTCAACGCGAAGGATTTGCTCCACCTTGGCAGGGAGAGACTTCTCCACGTCTTTCTTGACCCTTCGGAGCAGGAATGGCTCCAGGACTTTATGAAGACTCTGATAACCGTTATCCCTTCCTTTTCCGTGTTCATCCTCAAAATCCTCCCAGGAATCAAACCTGGATTAAAAGCAGATTTGAAACAAATCTCACTCCATCAGATTCTGCTTGGTTTATTTAAAAGTGTGTGAAGCGGGGCGTACTTGTCGGGCATGAGGAAGTGTAGCAAGGACCAGAGCTCTTTGAGGGAGTTCTGCAGCGGGGTGCCCGTAATGAGGAGTCGGTGGTTGGATCTGAACTCCATTAACGACTTGTAGAGCAGAGAATCATCATTTTTCAGCCTATGAGCTTCATCCACGCCCAAAAAGGCCCAGTTGATATTCCCGAGGACGCCCTGGAGGAAAACATTGCCACGTTTTAAGAAGCTCTTTAAAAGACGACACAACCAGAACAGACCCCTACTAACCTTATCCTTTAGCAGAATCTCATATGTGGTTAAGAGCGCATTGAAGCGGATTCTTTTGGTTTGATGGTTCACCCATTCATAGTCACGGATCTAAACAAAAACACACAAGTGAGCCACAGAATCTTAAAAAAAAATAAAAAAAACAATGACATCACAAGTCAAATCCAAAGTACCGTCTTCCTGCTCATGACGTCACCCAAATAGACCACCACGTTCATGTCTGGAGCCCAGGTGTCAAACTCTCTCTGCCAGGAGGTCAGTGTGGACAGAGGGACCACCACTAAAAACGGCCCGTAGAGCTGATGCTGGTGGAACAAGTAGGAAAGGAAGGAGATGGTCTGGATGGTCTTCCCCAGGCCCATCTCGTCAGCCAGGATAACACTGTTGCACCTGTAGGAGGAGAGGGCACTCCTTACTGGAGGCAGAACTAATGGAAAATAAACGCTGTACCGGCTGGTAATTTACCTGCACCAGGAGTGGGCGAGCCAGTTCAATCCATCCAGCTGGTAATCTCTGAGCTGAAGGATCTCGTCACCGATATACGACGGCTGTTTCTTTAATGCCACGAACCTCGGCCTTTGCTTTAACACCTGAAGTAAAAGATAAACATCCTTGTATTCGAACGTCAAGAGGAAGGCATGTTTTGACGGCTCTGGGTGAACTCCTACCTTGCAGTCTTTAGAAGGGATGGTTTTACTGGAGTTTCTGCTCATGAAGCCGTCGATGCAGTGTTGGAACTTCTTCCTGACCAAAGCCCCGTCCTCCCAGCTGCACTCCGAGTATGGGAAACCCATCCACTTGCATAGATACTCTGGTTCATTCGAGGATGGGGTCTTATGACTGTGTGCTGTTTGAGGAGGCGGGAAAATAGTCATATTCTAGTTCTCATCCTTTGAAGGTCATTTTGTGAAAGTCAAAATCAAAGCAGGTCCTTACAGGGAAAATCTGAGGAACCCGGTGTCTTTCCTGTTTTTGTTGCTGTTGGTAAAAAAAGAAAATAGATGCTTTATTGTGTATTAGAAAAACAATTTATCTGAAGTAACCATGAGTGATGGATGGCACACTGGAGCTTAACAGAAGGAAACATGTAGATAAAAAAAAACACATTTCCACAACAACCTGCTGTCATTCAAGGATTTTCTTTTGTCCTTTTACGTTCAATTTAAAAAGAAAATAAACCAAAAGGAATCCAATAAAAACCACCCATCATTAAAGGTGGGCTAGGTAGTTACACTGGAAAAACTATGTAGAAATTAGTAATAATTTCTTAAATTCAGTGTATTTACCCTTAAATTGAGTAGGTAAATTAGATAGTTTGCCAATGGAATTAGTACTTTTACTCTTAAAATAAGATTATTAGATAAAATGCATTAAAATAAGAGCCTGTAATTGTGTTTTCTTATCTAAAGAGTAAATTGTCTTGTTCCAGTGGCAAAATGTCTCTTTTACCTCCTCAATCCAAAAAACAAATGCACTGATTTTAAGAAAAACTGACATATCTAGATTTTGATTTGTTCCAGTGTATATGAAGCTATGGATGGTTAGCTAGCAGGAAAAAATGAATCAAAAGGAAGAGGACTTCTTAAAATCTTGAAAAAATGCCAAACTCCTCTTCTTTAGTCCTGACTTCTTGATAGCAGAAGCTCGTTAAGCTCCTGAGTTCGACTGACGTTTTCAAGACGTCCAGTTGCTTTAGATTTAGTTTTTTCCCCCCACCTTGTGAGACCTCAACGTTCTTCCAAAATAACATAAATATGCTTTTTATACTTCAGATTTATCACAATTAAGCAGTAAAAGGAGTAAATAGGATGATTATGTAAACTGACCTAAAAGCTTAAACCCAAACAGCTAATGCTGCTGTTAGCAGACAACGCAGCCTCCCAAATCAGCAACAGGTGTGATTACAATCCAGTCAACGTAAGATTCAACTGTCATCCTAAATTAAGAGCCTGCAGTTTATCAATCAGAAGCATAAGTCATTAATCCAGGACACTGAACTAATTGATGTGCTTTGAATCATTTGCCATTATGACTGATGTTGTCCTTGTTAAAGCAAATATGATTGAAAAAGTAAAAGGGAAACAGCAGCTTACGGTGTAGGCTTGATTTTCATGAACTCATATCTAATGAGATATTTCTCTTCTTTAATACAGGGTCTCTATTAATGTGTGAACTTACAGTAGCGGCCATTCAAAGTATCTCTTCCAAGTCAAACACCAGCCGAATGGCAGCCGACTCCCCAGCAAATTCCCCTCCATAAACCCAACATACACTCACCGGCCACTTTATTAGGTACCCCATGCTAGTAATGGGTCGGACCCCCTTTTGCCTTCAGAACTGCCTCAATTCTTCTTGGCATAGATTCAACAAGGTGCTGGAAGCCTTCCTCAGGGAGTTTGGTCCATATTGACATGATGGCATCACACAGTTGCCGCAGATTTGTCGGCTGCACATCCATGATGCGAATCTCCCGTTCCACCACATCCCAAAGATGCTCTATTGGATTGAGATCTGGTGACTGTGGAGGCCATTTGAGTACAGTGAACTCATTGTCATGTTCTAGAAACCAGTCTGAGATGATTCCAGCTTTATGACATGGCGCATTATCCTGCTGAAAGTAGCCATCAGAAGTTGGATACATTGTGGTCATAAAGGGATGGACATGGTCAGCAACAATACTCAGGTAGGTTGTGGCGTTGCAACAATGCTCAATTGGTACCAAGGGGCCCAAAGAGTGCCAAGAAAATATTCTCCACACCATGACACCACCACCACCAGCCTGAACCGTTGATACAAGGCAGGATGGATCCATGCTTTCATGTTGTAGACGCCAAATTCTGACCCTACCATCCGAATGTCGCAGCAGAAATCGAGACTCATCAGACCAGGCAACGTTTTTCCAATCTTCTATTGTCCAATTTCGATGAGCTTGTGCAAATTGTAGCCTCAGTTTCCTATTCTTAGCTGAAAGGAGTGGCACTCTGTGTGGTCTTCTGCTGCTGTAGCCCATCTGCCTCAAAGTTCGACGTACTGTGCGTTGAGAGATGCTCTTCTGCCCACCTTGGTTGTAACGGGTGGTTATTTGAGTCACTGTTCCCCTTCTATCAGCTCGAACCAGTCTGGCCATTCTCCTCTGACCTCTGGCATCAACAAGGCATTTCCGCCCACAGAACTGCCGCTCACTGGATGTTTTTTTCTTTTTCGGACCATTTTCTGTAAACCCTAGAGATGGTTGTGCGTGAAAATCCCAGTAGATCAGCAGTTTCTGAAATACTCAGACCAGCCCTTCTGGCACCAACAATCATGCCACGTTCAAAGTCACTCAAATCACCTTTCTTCCCCATACTGATGCTCGCTTTGAACTGCAGGAGATTGTCTTGACCATGTCTACATGCCTAAATGCACTGAGTTGCCGCCATGTGATTGGCTGCTTAGAAATTAAGTGTTAACGAGCAGTTGGACAGGTGTACCTAATAAAGTGGCCGGTGAGTGTATATCTTTACTCTGACTCCACCCTTTCACTGAATTACATTGTCTGACCAGGAGATGACGCTTCTCTTTAGATCTTAATGTCCACAAATCATGACAAAAAAAATATATATGAGTACAAATATTCATGTTTAAAAAGGAATTGCAGGGAACCAGCCAAGGACTGATCAAGGAAAGTGGGGAAAATTTAAATGGCTACTACTGTAATGTACTTTTCAGGACACTTAATCCTACTTGTCATTCGCTTTTATTCGATTTTTCGACCGTTTCCATCATTTAAGGTGTTGATCAAGTAATTTACAATAGATATTTAATGGATGTAAAATGATTGGAACAACTTTTGGACGGTTTACACATACAGAGCGCACTTTTTACCAACGAGACAGGGAAGAAAGTTTCTCCCATAATTTTCCTCCCATACTTATTTAAAGCTGACAATAATATAAATTACAGATTTTTTTTAATGTTCAGATTATGCAGAAGCTGTAAGTAAATAGAATTTAAATGAGAAAGTCTGGTACTGATCAGAGATTATCGATATAACCCTGACGGTTCACATCCTAAGGAGTGTCTGACTTCTTACCGATGACTCGCTCCACAATTTGAAACTGCTTTGTCAGGTCAGATGTGAGCTCCTGCTGGCAGTTATGAAACTCCACGTCCTCAGGAGATGCTTTACCTAACCTGAAAAGAAAATACCAAATTAGATCTAAGCGCTGAGCACAGAAAAAAACATACTAAGTGTAATGCAATGTAAAAATAAAAAGGCGCGTACACTCACCAAGCATTCAGCTCATCATTCTTCTTCTTAAAGTTGTCCAGTTTCTTCAGCCCCTTGACCTTCTGCTGCGTTAGGGAGTCGATGCTCTCCCATGTGTTGTGGATGTAAGACCAGCCCTTCCACTTTATCAGATACTGAGTCTCTCCTTCGTCTTGGTCTGGATCAAAACCTTCACACGGATCTCCGTTTTCCTCCACGGCGTACATAGTGGTGGACGCTCCGGTGGCTGAAAGAGACCAAACATGAACTTAAAAAAAAACAAAAACAAAGCCGAAGCATTTTTGTTTCTACGTCGTTTGTGAATTAAGGGAAAAGGGGAATCACCTCCTTTTCTGCCGATCCTGCAGTCGATAACTTTCTCGATTGTCTCGCTGTCGTCGTCCTGCTGCTCCTCTCCAGCATCTCCGGTCATTTCAATCAGGTCGTCTGAGTCTGTTTCAAAGTCGTGCTGATCTTCTTTATAGCTTAAAGGACACAAGGAGACGGTGAATCTCAGTAAATACTAACCTCTTTACAAGTTTAAACATGAAGTTTGTCAGAAAAGATAATTAGTTCTTTTTTTAAAGGAGCTCCTCAGTTCAGGATTAAACGTTTAAATCTCTGAACTCTGCCCTCAGAAAAGAAAAATCACCTTTTAATTTTTGTGGCTCCTCTTCGGCGAGTCTGCCTTTTTGGAGTGTCTTCCTCATCATCGTCATCATCATCTTCATCATCGTCCTCATCATCATCCTCAGCTGAGGACTCCGGTTTTCTCGACCTCCGTCCTTTTTGCGACTGCTGCTTTTTGGATGCTTTGGTCTGAGGTCTGCGGGGAAAAACGAGAGCAGGGAAGCAGAAGCCTTCAGAAAAATACAACAAGGTAAAATGACTTTTACAGTGCCTTCCAAAAGTATTCACACCCCTTTAACTTTTTTCATTATTTTACGTTGAACCACAACCTTTAATGTATTTTCAAAGGGGTTTATGTGATAGAGCAACGCAAAGTAATAAAATTAAAAAAGTTTTTATATCATAGAAATACCTTAAAGGAATAGTACACCCAAAACATGATTAGCCTTCATTTTCTACTCACCCCCATGCTGAACAACACTCTGGAGTACTTTTTTGATATCTCAAATGCATCTGGAGATCTGGGAGGCTTCTTGCTGTCTGCTGACATTCAAATAATGGAGGTCTATGGTGACCGAGACAGAAAGGTCCATAAAAGTCCACAAAAAACGTGTCAATATTCCTCCATACTGCTCGTCCAATGTATTCCAAGTGTCCTGAGTGGGTAGCGTCCAGAATTTACTCGAAACGAAGTCATTTAGAATGTTTCTAGAGCATAAACAGTAGTGTATAGGATTTCCTGAAAGTGCGCACATGCGCGCTCACGACGCTACGGAAGCCGGCAGACCAAACCAGATGAAAGTGCGCATTCAGCGTCTGCTCTGCCAATAATGCAAGCGTAGAAGAAGAAATGTGCTGTTTACCTGTGCAAAGAAAGAAACAACGAAAGAAAAATGTCTGAGGACTTCAGTGTTGAGGAAGAGCACGAGTTCTTTGCCGAGCTGAATGCGCTGGTTTGGTCTGCCGGCTTCCGTAGCATCGTGAACGCGCATGTGCGCGCTTTCAGGAAATCCTATACACTACTGTTTATGCTCTAGAAACATTCTAAATGACTTCGTTTCGAGTAAATTCTGGACGCTACCCACTCAGGGCACTTGGAATACATTGGACGAGCAGTATGGAGGAATATTGACACGTTTTTTGTGGACTTTTATGGACCTTTCTGCCTCGGGCACCATAGACCTCCATTATTTGAAAGTCAGCAGACAGCAAGAAGCCTCCCAGATCTCCAGATGCATTTGAGATATCAAAAAGGTACTCCAGAGTGTTGTTCAGCATGGGGGTGAGTAGAAAATGAAGGCTAATCATGTTTTGGGTGTACTATTCCTTTAACTTGTACCCTGTGAGGTGAATATAACTTGAAATATTTATATTTCAAGTTATATTCAAGTTATATAAGTTATATTTATATCCAAACTCTGCTTCAACCATATCCTCAGTTTTATTCAGGGGTATTGCAGGAAAAGGTGCTGATTAGCAATGGATAGCACAACTTTCTGTCCTTTAGGAAAAATGCATGGGAAAAAAAATCCTAATATCTTTATCTCCTTTCACAATTTTAGTGTTCATTTTTTAACAGAAAATCTCTATAAAATACATTGCAGTTTGTGGTAGGGGTGTGAACACTTTTTCCCAACAACAGTACATCAGGTTGGAGCAGTTTGGTTACTATTAAAAAGGAAAAATCAAAGAATGGGTGGTAAATTATCAGGTGATTAGAGAATGCTGTGGGTAGCTGTCTGATGGCCAGGCTTTGTTACACTCTTACCTTCTAGCAGGAAGTCTTCTGGATCTAACTTTTTTCTCTTCCTGCTCACTGTCTGAACTGTCGGATGTCTCCTCATCCTCCTCCTCTTCATCAATTGAGTCATCATCTTTCCAGATATTTCTTATAACAAAGAAATGCCACAAGTTCACCCTCAAGGCCTGTTACAGCTGCTTTTGCTCGCGCTCCAAACTATAATTAAAATGCAGCCACAAGGGGCTAATCTCAGTCAGATTGAATTAGACGCTGATTCGATAAATCAAATTTGACTCATGTGTAGAACATAACCTGGCTGATAGGCACAAACTGGGCCTATTCTGAGACAAACAGATACCCATTTATACAAGATTCACAACATGGACTCAAACTGGCTAAAGAATGACATGTGAAAACCAAAGTGAACTATATGGATGAAGTGCTTAAAAAAATAAAAATCTCTGTTTTCAAATAAAATGGCAATGGTAGAATATATAAGCAACATAAAAAGTATTCCAGATCCTTCCACTTACTCCTTTTTCTTTGATCGAGAAGATTTTCTTTTAGGGCTCTCGCTCTCAGAGTCACTGCTGCCCTGTGAAGGGAGCAGATGAGTCAGAAAGAGGCATCTTTTGCACAGAATGTCCACTAGATGGCACAAGAGGCTAATGGCTGATAAGCAGACTAAAGTTCCTCCTACAGCCTCTTTTACAGCCGCCTACCTCAGCTCCGATGTTGAGACGAGCTGGCTCCTGTCTGCTGCGATTGGACCTCCTGACACCGTACACATCTGGGTGTTCTTCCCACATCTGGAAACACAAATTACAACACAGCTATGAGATAGAATTTGATATATAATCGACATTAATCACTGTCTGCAGACTTGATATCCATCTAATACGAAGGATACTCAAAATTCATGACAATTTAGGATAAAACCAATATTGCATTAGCAAGAGGTCCCAGGTTCTCAAAGATCAGCAATTCTATAATACCCTGTTCATTTCTACAATCTAGGGAAGGATTTAGAAGTAAAAACTCAGTAATTTTTTCAACTATTAAGGAGGTATTAAGTAGAACCACATTAAAAAAGGGCAGACTGGTCCAAATATAATGTAATTCAATTGGTCTTTGAATCATCTGTTCACTAAACTATGTACAACACTATACAGCAATGAGTATTATGGTATAATATGACCGACCCAATTATAGTCAAAAAGGCAAATGGTACTTATATTCTAATTTGAATGATAAAAGCTGTTTTTTTTCTTACTTTATCTGGTAATATTATATATATTTTGCAGGTTAACGATGCCTTGGTTACCGTAAAGTTTTTACAGTGATTTAGGCCTGAAACAATCGATTAATAGTTAATTGGATTATAGAGACAGTAAAATATACAAAGAATATTAAAAAAAATTACAAAATCTTGCATTTAAGACAAAAAACAAGTTTTCGTCTGTCAATATGCTCCATCCAGAACTCCTCCAGTGGAAAATTTTTCCTGGTTTAATTTTATAAAAAGTCTTAAGGAACCTTTTTTCTATCCAATTATTAATCAACTAATCGAAGAAATTCGAGAGCATAACTGATTTGCAAAATTACCGATAGTTGTAGCCCTACAGTAAATTACTATGAATACTAAGGTACATTTATAAGTGTTCATTTTTAATATATTTTTTGCTTGAAGGCTGAATGAAACATTTAATGCATCCACAAAGGGCCTCGATATATGGTAAATCAAAATACAAAAAAATATAATCAACATTTTCATGATAAAGTAATGTCTTTGCCAATAAACTGAAAATAATTATTCTTAAAATGCCTGGAGATTAACTGAATCATATATTCTGTAAAAATGTTAGAACCTAAAAAGGATGAGCTTAATATAGGGTAACTTACTACCTTCTTCCTTGAACTATTTAATCTTCCAACATGTCCAAGACCAACCTGCTCAGAACCAACATACGTGGAGCTCTAGTCCAACACTCACAAAATTATCTTAAGAGTGAAGGAAAAAAACACTTAAACTATAATACTTTTGCATGTTCTACCCTTTGTTACCTTCTTCACATCAGCCAGGCGCTCCTTCTTCCTGACAGGTTTGTCTTTGGCCTCTGAAGCGGCTTGCTGGGATTTGGACTCTGTGGACTCGCTCCCCGACTCGGAGCGACTCTCTGACTCGGAGGAGCTGTTCGACTCAGAGTTGTGGGATCTCCGCCTCACGCTGCCATGCTCGCTTTCTGACTGACTCCCTGATTCCGACGCAGAGTGGTTGGACTCCTCTGAGGCTGAATTGCTATAAAAAAATAAAATGCATTGATTCTTTTGATTGCCTGAAGCCATTTTTAGTTTTCTTCTTTTTACTCATAGTAACCAATCTGAAAAAGCTTGGATCAGAAGCAGCTTATTGACCCTTCTCTAACATTTCTTAGAGGTCCTAACATGGTCTTTCTGCTTACATTGCGTCTGTAAAGAGCAGTCATCTTAATCGTGGATTTTTTTAATGGTCCACTTTAAAAGCCTTTTAAGAGTAAAAGTACTTCCAACTTTTAATAAAACAAGTCAAAGGGGTGTCTCAATGTGACTGCTGAATTTCTCTCTTACACATGTCAAAGCAGGGGTCACCAACCTTTTTAAGGCTGAGGGCCACTTCAAGGGTACCGAGACTTAGGAAGGGCTACCATTACTGACCCATGAGCTGCAAGGGTTTGCATTAGCCTAAACTTGGTTCATTATCAACATATTTTTATTGTTTCTGTTCATTTCTAAGTTTATTTAGACATTGACATTTTGAAATCTCTATAAATGATTAAAAAGAAGAGCAACAGAATAAAATAAAATTTCAAACTTAGCCCACTGGTGGGTTGTTCTTTATTTAGAAGACTCTGAGGGCCCCCAATGTGGTCCTTGAGGGCACCGCGTTGGTGACCACTGTGTCAAAGTATGCATATTTGTTCAATAACATCCATACTTACATGCTAATAATTGGTTAAATGACACAGAGAAATCCCATGCTCTTCAACAAAATCCTAGTATAAATCTGACTGGTTTTCTATTCGTTTGTATTCTAAATAAACCAACCTAAATGCTGGTGCTGGTTTTGTTTTACTGTATAAAACCTCAAAATCAAAGCCTATTCCTGACATTTTCAATGGAAAAAGCTTCCTGGATAGGAAGCGAAATGTTTTCAAACTTAGAAAATAAAAGTCCAGTGGATTGTTTTTTTATTTTCTTTTTGGGAAACTAACCTAAAGCTTAATTAGCAGGGAGAATTAGCAAGGGGGTCTGTTTTAGTTCCAGAACGTCTGGCTTTTGAGATTCATAAACAATGAGATGATTCTCAACAAGACCAAAACAACAAAAGCACATATAGTTTTGGTACTGATCATTTCTTGCTTAAATAATTACTTCAAATGTAAGGATTACTCTTAAAAAAGCAGGTCTTTACCAGGAAACACATCCAACTGAAATTAATTTCAGCTATTTCAAATACTAGAATTGCTCAACAACCAAAGTCCGGATTTACATGAAGTGTACAGGTCGTTAATAAATGGTTCCGCCTATGTTCCGTTTTCAAATGAGCCCTTGCAAAAATGATCAGTAAAAATCTGAAGCAAATGGAGCCAGGACTCAACCAGTCCATCCTAACCTTATTATCCATATCCCTCACCTGACTTACTCATGATCATTCATCACATGACTATGTTTTGAATTAAGAGCAAGGTATTTGTTGTTGTTTTTTAAGTAGGGCATTAAGAAACATTTGCATTTGACAACAGGAAACCTGTTAACATGATATGAATACCAATCAATCAGGTTCAAAGGGCCAATTTGGGTATGCTTAGATAAAAACCACTACTAGTTGATACATTATTATTATTATTATTATGCTTGTAAATACAGGGATCTGCTGAAAATGCTTAGTATTTAAACCAGCTTTTGCTGCATGCAGTACCGCCTTTGTACACATGGGGTCACTATTGGCTGCAGTCATTGATAGTTTCGTGACTGATTAACTGAATTAATGTCTGGATGTAGAGAAATAAAAAGCTTCAGGTACTTCCATGTTTGGGATAAGCATATTTATCCCAACTTTAAAAGAAACCACATCTTAATGTGCTCCACTTTATTATTATTATTTTTTTTTCAATTATTTTTTTTTTACTGTTATAATTTTAGTTTTCTATAAATGCAGAGGTAAAACAACTGTTAAAATAGCGCAATGTAAAAATTATACTTAAATGTAGAAATATAAAAACAAACATCTATTGCCGGAACTGGAACTGTGTCTTTAAGAGCTACATTAGGAGGTGGGACATAGCCTTCTTCTCGAGCTGTTATTGGCTTGTGTGACGCTAGGGTGACGTAAAACCAATGAGAGCGCTTAACGCAGGCTCCACTAATGCCTGCTCACTTCCTGTTCCTCTTATGTAGTTCTGAGCAGTTTTAATACAGACGACTGAGGAAACTAGCCACACGAAGCCAGGGCCATTTTGTGACTCTGAATATCTTTAAATTGAGCTTTTTTTTAATGCCTTTATTGCATATAGTGCACGTTTACTCAGTTTCCTCCTGCTACATCAGCTGCAGCAACTGCATAATGAGCTGATCTACAATTGTGAAAAGATGCTGAGCTTTAATCACAGGACACCATTTTACTCTCATCTTAAAAATACTAAAATGGCTGCCTGAAGATCATGCAGAAGACTACAAAGCTGATGTAACTTGCTGCAGCTTTACTGTCAGTGAAAAACTGAGAGAAATTAGCTGCATGTGGTTTACACTGGTGTTTTAATCTAAAAGCAAGGATATCTAATCCAACTGGAAATTTGATATGAGGTCAATAAACCCTATGAATGAAGAAAACAGGCACACATCATCTGTATCAGAGGAGAATGAAATCTCTTTAAACTGCTGATCAGATCTGACCCCAACACCACTGCATTGTCTAGACACTGTAAACCAGATGACATTTGGCTTTATTCATCAAAGTATGTCTCCACCTCTTCTGAAACTTAATTAAAAAGATGTCTCGGAATCCCGATTTTAACATAAAAAAGAAGCAATATCACAATATACATTCAGGCTAATATGATTGTAAAATTTATTAGTAAATAAAATGTTATTGAGCAACAGTTTTTAACAGAGTGAATAAAAAAAGAAAAAAAAAACATCAAATATTAAGAAACAGCCTTAATTTCCTAATACAGATTACAGAAATGTTTTCGTTTTTTTTAATAAAATGTATTAACTTTAAAAAGTGCAAAAACAACTCAATCAGTTAAAAATGCATTAATATATACTCTTTCATATTGAGAGTTATTTCCAGCTGGGCACAAATATAAGGCTAAGTCTGGATGTCAAACATACAAATACTGACAAAACAGGAAAAGTATAGCACTTAAGTTTTAAAACTTTCATTTCTGCAATAATAGTCTTCAGTAAATTCCTATTAATCAGCACAAAAATACTGTGCATAAGCAAACACTTTTCACGAAAGTTTAAAAAATACATTTATATTTAAAAACAAAAACACCCTATTAAAAAATAAAAACATCCAAAGGGTAGCTTAAGGTTTGTGAAATAAATGGAATCTAAATATTTATAAAGTGGTGCAATGCAGCACCAACTTTTAAGACAAGGTCATTTTACACCAAAACAAATACATTTCATTTACAGTTTAGTACAGGACACATGAGATTTCCTGTGGTACAACATCTACATATTGTGGGAAACGATGTCTGAACAACAGGCCTAAAAACCTGAGTGCTGGGAGTATAAGAAATGGCAGAAAAAATCAGGGTGTGGCTATTAAACAATAGCAAGGTCATTCATGACACTGGTGAACTTAAACTGAAACGTTGCAGATGCAACACAGGTGATCAACCATGCTTGAAAAGGTAAACAAACCAGATTTGTGGGGGGGAAAAGGTAGTGTAAAATGTAATGGATCATACCTTGAAGCGTTGCTCTGAGTTGATCCTTCGTCCTCTTTTTTATTTTTATTCTTCATCATGATAGTATCCTGAAAACTCGATGGAGGTGATTTGTCCTGGTATTTACTGTCAAAAACTTGAGGGATGTGTGAACTATCCTACAAGTCCCATCAAATTGCCTTTTGTCAGCTTGCAGATAAAACCCAGCCGGTGCGACACAGGAGCAGAAAATAATAAACCGATTGATTTGAAAATCATAATTTAATTGAAGTTAAAGTTAACCATTATAGTAGGTAATGATAGAAGTCAAATATTAATCGTATATCCTTCGAAATAGTTTCCAGATACAACCGCATGCCGTGAATTTTAACTGCGTCATCGCATGAAGCAGAAGAAAATGAATATTAAAAAAAAGAAAATAGGTAAATTTGTACTTACAAAATGTAAACAAATCCAATCAATGTGAGAAAGGGTGCTAACCAACAAGACATGTATTTGTTTCCCTTTTTCTTTCGTCGCAGTTTTAAATATTTATCAAACTTGGATTAAAAAAGGCAATTCGTAAAACGGATAACTTTATAAATAACAAAAAACAACAACGAATTTGTTTGGAAAAAGCATTCAGGCCTTAAGTCTGCAGTGGCTGACAGAGCGACAGAGGCAAAGAGCAGCGGACTAAAAATGGAGTCGCGCCATGGCTGCCGGAGCCCAGTATGGAAAACAACGACAAGCACACGGCCAGCACAGACGGCTTCTACAGCGCTCGAAAAACACCACAAAAACGGCAAAAAACTAACAAAATACCCATAAAAAGTGACCGCGTAGACACAAACTAATGTTTGACACGAAAAAAAAACGGCGTGGGTCGAAGACGTGCAAGAGAATCGGTCTGACAAAACCTAGGGCAGCCTTTCCAAGGCTCAGCCGCCATCTAGAGCTCCTTCCCTGCTCTGAAAGCCTTGCCTTTGATTGACGTTATTTCCATTTACCCCATACTCAGGTGATGTCTAAGTCCCTCCCCTTTTAGTATGTTAAAATTGTACTTTATATAAACTAATATATTTTTTATACCCTTGCAAAACAACCCCCAAAAGAAAACATTTTTTCCACAATGACATTAATTTATAATAGCTGGACTGTAAAAACTACATATTTTGCAGCAATTACATCACTTCCTGCTTAGACAGGAAGAAAGGCTACAAATAGCCATTTTTATAACGCTTTTAAAAGCTACGATTATGGGAAATCCAAGTTATAAACCAAGTATAATAATTGATTATATTCGTTTATCGATTAAATACGTAACCTTTGATAATAATTCAAATTATTTATTGATTGCAGTTGGGGAAAAAGTCATGCTAAACCAACATGAGACAAAAAAGTAAATCACTTAAAATCGATTTAACCGGAAAAAGTAACCTCTTTCCGAGTGTTATCAAAACTCGGAAACATGCCAAATAAACATTTCATTTTCCAGGAATGCAGCTAATAAAAAAAAAAAAAAAAAAAAGTATAAAGAATCTTAATATATACTAGGTCACAACTTTATTTAAAACAACATTTGAACGTTTAAGTACAAAAGCTGATTTTTCCTCTCCCAGTATCGTAGATCCAGTGTCCATGGTTGGAAAAAAAAAATGTATATAAATCAAATGCGTTGGCAAAGTCCACTTAGAAAAGGGGTTTATCTTGACAATATTTGGCTAACTGCCATATCGCTTGTCATCTTCGCGTTAAACAACGCTGTCTCCACTGCAGCAATATCCAGTTGATTGGAGTCTTGATAGGATAAAATAAACAAAAAACAAAAGAATTGTAAGCTGACAGAAAGGAACGTGATTAAGGGCTAGCCTCATGAAGAAAGCATACAAAGACAGACTACACATTTAGCTAGATTTCAATAGAACTTAAAGTGCGCCATCGCTACCCGATCTATCTTGGAAGCACAATCCGTACCATTAGCTCATTTGCGCACGCGCAACCAGATATACATCCGGGTTTCCATAAATATTGTAATTATGGTACTAAAAGTACTTAATTCTATCCATGACTCACTCAAGAATGGTTATACACATCTTTAAAAAATTTTTTGACTTTTTTTGACAAAATGTTTATGCGTTTTACATTTTCTCCGTTAAACTGCTTGTCTGACATCATCAGACATGCTTGGAGCAGTTTATCTAGAGTTTAGTTGTGTCTTACTTTAGGTTGCGCATTATATACCATAATGTTAACACGAAAAGAAAAAATAAAACTTAAAAAGACTAGATTAATGTTTGAATCCAAAGCTGGAAAAGTTAAATCCCGTTAGCGTAGGGTCCCATTTCCGGTGCAGACCGGGGACAGAAAACTGATAAAACAGAAAGGATTATAGGGCATTTATTTTCTCAGGAAATACATTCATTAACCTTTAAAAGGTTATAGTTTAGTACACAAACTATTTTTTTCAGGAGGGAAAAATGTCATTTAGGTATTTTTTTTACAAAATAAAATAAGGGGCAACCCGGATGTATATCTGGTTGCACATACGCAAATGAGCTGATGGTACGGATCGGTCTTCAGTTCAGGTAGTGATATACACAAGCCATGTGAATGATACTACTACTGTGCAATAATATTTAAAAGTATCAAGCAAGACTTTGGGTTAAAAAAAATTTGCAAACTGTAAATAACAGTGGGTATGACAATGGGCTAAATAAGTCATTGAATAGTGCACTAGACTTGTTAGCATAAGGGTATCTATAAAGCAACAAGATGGCAACTCCCTAATTATTTGCTGTGTATTGGACATGAATGGGTTTTTTGTACTTCTGTATTAAATAAATAAACAATTGGCCCTAAGTTTATTGGTTTTTGGAAAAACCAAACCGAAAAAAGTCATTAAGTGGCCACTAAGAGGCAAATGCATGTATTGTCCAACATAAAACTTGTTCATTTGGAAGAAAACGCTGGATAAAAGCAACGGTTTAACAAAATTTAAATTTTGCCCCACTGAGTCAGCAGATGAGCAAACATCTCACATCACAAATCGAAATCGTTTGAAATTCTAAACCAATAAATATCAACTCTTATCTTACAATTTCAGATCAAGCAGTTATTCTGTCTGTGCTTACTAAACTATGCCTCCAGATTGTGTTGTTGTTTTTTGAAAGCAATACACATCAAAATAAATTTGTGTATTAAGGATTTCTACATACATATAAAAAAAAAAAATCCTTAAATCAGCAAAATAGTAATGGGGGCTTGTGGGAAAATATAGCTTTTTCTCACAGATGCCAGCAGGAGGCAACACATTCAATGTCAAAGAAACAAAAACCAACCCTTCTTTAACCCTCATCAATAGCTAAGTCAGTTGTTAGCTACATTATGCATGTGCTAGTAATAAAATACCCTGAGACCCATAGTCTGATAATGCTTCAACCTAACATGTACTTCTTTGGCCAATCTTTAGCACTAAATTTCAACATAACTAGAACCATAGTGAATTGGTGGGATTTCCCAATTCTATTACAAGAAACTAAGTATTAACTTTTTCTATATGGCTTGTAAATAAGAGTGAGTAAATCAATTATTTCAATGACAAAAAACTTACAGAGTTGTCTTCTTTCTCTTCAGAACTGGAACCATCTTCTTGCAGATCTTCTGTGTCTATGCTGTGACATAGAAAAAGAAACTATTAATGATAGCCCATCAACTTCAGAAAGATCTACAAAATTTTTTCTTTACAGTATATACATTTAACAAGGAGTCAAAGTGTACATAGATACAGATAAAAATTACATGCTATACCTATTTAAAAGATAAGATGGTACCCAATAAAGTTTTAACTTTCAATTAGTTAAATAATTTGACAAAAGCTTAAAATGCTGACATTGTTCTACGATTTAAATAGATATACTTGTTTTACATCCCGCCACAATATAAATATCCGAAACAGGTTAGAGGTTTGTATTCAACTGAAGGTAGCCGCCAAACCCACAGGGGCAAAAATCCAATATCCAACATAAAATTAATTTCACTGCGGTTAGTTGCAGTACGGCTCCAACTTGAACACTAACCAGACCTACATTACATGTAATATGAGTATATACTTTGAATATCAAAAGAGGAAGAACAACGGGTGATTAATCTTAGATTTTATGTCTACTGTAGTCCAAGACATTAGAATAGCAATAAACTTTGCTCAACGTTGGTCTACTAATTTTATTTTGTCCATCATTTGCCATGTCTTTTACTGTTCAGCTCGTTTGGGAGCTCGAGTGGTTGAATGTCAAAATCTCCTCATTCTTTTGTTTAGTAATGCTGTGGAACGGGGCTTAAAGAAACTACAACCAAGTAGCAAAAACATAGATGTTGTCCAGAGGGAACCCTAACCTTTTTTGTTTTGTTTTTAAACACGTGTTGGATGGACTACTCATCATCTAGGGTTTATATATGCTTTGAACTCGAAGCAGGATCGCATCAAATTTTGATATATGCATTTTTTTATTCATTGTGTTATTCTTTGCAACACTTTATCCAATATCACATGGTTTCAAAATGTAGTGCAGAGTAAGGATTTAACATAGAAAAATAGTAAAATATTTGTAACTACATTAATAAGAATATATGTAATAAATTTCTCCTTTTTAAAATTCGTTAAATAAGTTTTTGGAACCTAAAATTTAAACATTGTTGGCCATTTTATGAACTAAAGGTTGTGTTTAATATTGATTTCCAACAACAGACATAGTTATATTTTCAAACATTGAAGGTAACACAGATTAGATTATTTGTACTTAAACATTCAAATAAACACATTGATTAACTTTAGGGCCACAATTTGTTTAAAAGATTTCAAATACCAAATAGGAAGCAATCAATTGCCTTTGCAATAAAATTGATATTTAGCGAAGCACAATTTTAGGTATGTTACAGTTAACAAAAGTAAGACACCTTGAGATGGCGGTAATGAGCTTAGAGGGTGTTTGTCATCACAGAAGGGAAAAGAGAGTTGCAGTAACCAAACAGTAACAACTGCCCACTTGTTTAAATCCTGCTTTTTTTCCCTTTAAAACCACCCCTTTGGTGCCCTCCCAACGTTAAAAAGGGTTACTTCATTCAAGTTTTCCTATTAGCTAGCACGGGATATGAATACAAACGGAGAGTCTACATAAGCAGCTTTCAAGGTTTTAAGAACAATGAAACCCTAGAGTGAAACATACAAATTCTTTTGATTGATGCAAAAGAAACTGGGCAAAAGAAAACACTACCTATGGAGATCAATGGGTTAAAATCAAGTTTGTAAAAACAACACCCAGGTGTCACACATGATTAAGGCCACTAGCACTTTCCTATCCGATATCAGGCCTATATCCTGAATGTTATGGGCGGCACCATTTTTGTTTGAGTAATTACTGCCTTGAGAGCTGTAGTATCAAGGACCACCAAAAGGAGGCGAGGAACCGTGCTAGTGTGATGTGTAAATGGACGTAAGAACCAAGCTTGGCACGGTTAACTGATTCAAGCTGGATCCAAACTCGCCACAGATCGATTTCAGAGTAGTGTAAATGCAGCATATACACTATATTGCCAAAAGTATTTGCTCACCTGCCTTGACTCACATATGAGCTTAAGTGACATCCCGTTCCTAATCCATAGGGTTCAATATGACGTCGGTCCACCCTTTGCAGCTAGAACAGCTTCAACTCTTCTGGGAAGGCTGTCCACAAGGTTTAGGAGTGTGTTTATGGGAATTTTTGACCATTCTTCCAGAAGCGCATTTGTGAGGTCGCACACTGATGTTGGACGAGAAGGCCTGGCTCTCAGTCTCCGCTCTAATTCATCCCAAAGGTGTTCTATCGGGTTGAGGTCAGGACTCTGTGCAGGCCAGTCAAGTTCATCCACACCAGACTCTGTCATCCATGTCTTTATGGACCTTGCTTTGTGCACTGGTGCACAGTCATGCTGGAAGAGGAAGGGGCCAGCTCCAAACTGTTCCCACAAAGTTGGGAGCATGGAATTGTCCAAAATGTCTTGGTATGCTGAAGCATTCAGAGTTCCTTTCACTGGAACTAAGGGGCCAAGCCCAGCTCCTGAAAAACAACCTCACACCATAATCCCCCCTCCACCAAACTTTACACTTGGCACAATGCAGTCAGACAAGTACCGTTCTCCTGGCAACCGCCAAACCCAGACCCGTCCATCAGATTGCCAGATGGAGAAGCGCGATTCGTCACTCCAGAGAACGCGTCTCCACTGCTCTAGAGTCCAGTGGCGGCGTGCTTTACACCACCGCATCCGACGCTTTGCATTGCACTTGGTGATGTATGGCTTGGATGCAGCTGCTCGACCATGGAAACCCATTCCATGAAGCTCTCTGCGCACTGTTCTTGAGCTAATCTGAAGGCCACATGAAGTTTGGAGGTCTGTAGTGATTGACTCTGCAGAAAGTTGGCGACCTCTTCGCACTATGCGCGTCAGCATCCGCTGACCCCGCTCCGTCAGTTTACGTGGCCTACCACTTCGTGGCTGAGTTGCTGTCGTTCCCAAACACTTCCATTTTCTTATAATACAGCTGACAGTTGACTGTGGAATATTTAGGAGCGAGGAAATTTCACGACTGGATTTGTTGCACAGGTGGCATCCTATCACAGTTCCACGCTGGAATTCACTGAGCTCCTGAGAGCGACCCATTCTTTCACAAATGTTTGTAAAAACAGTCTGCATGCCTAGGTGCTTGAATTTATACACCTGTGGCCATGGAAGTGATTGGAACACCTGATTCAAATAATTTGGATGGGTGAGCAAATACTTTTGGCAATATAGTGTATCTGCCTGCCTCTGAAATCTCAGATATTAGAAAGCCGATAAAAATGCCCTGTTTCTATCTGCCTTTGTTTAAAGTTTATGTAACTCTTTGGTGAGTAACAAACAAGTCGGTTTTTTCCTCATACCAGCTGTTGTGAACTACTGTTCCACTATGAGAAATATAACTCAATCAAATCTTTTTATTAGACATTATACGTAATAAAAGTATGTATGATTAATGATGATATTGTATCGGCCCAACATCAGTATCTGTGAATACTAAAAGTTGCAATGCGGGTATGACGGAAATGAAAAAGTTGTATCAGGACACCCCTAGGGGCAACCCAAGTTTCATTTTAGGATGGGTGAATCTTGAACTACAACACTGTTTGTACTGCATAGTAATGTGTAATGTGCAAAATTACGTGAACTGATTTTAGTTTTATAAATATTCTACCTTTGGATTGGTGAGGAAGGGACTCGTAGAGCAGAGTTGGTGGGTAGGTGTGAACGTGTGTGTGTTGTGGGGGGCTATCAACATAGCTGTATTAATTGTGTATTCATTGTTAGATTCAGTGACAAAGACTGCCAGACAGTAGCATTCTTGTCACTGTATAGGTTGTCCCAAGACATGGCATTGCGTAAAAGTACTATTATTGCGCGAACATTGATAGCCAAAGAGTGGAGCTTGGTTTATGCCCTCGGCATCCCTTCTGCGCACAGATATTGCGCACGGACCACTTAGGAAAATTTTCAATTACGCGGACGGATCTGCGCGCCGAACAAGCAGCAGCTCCGCTGGCGAGGTTTCTCAAATGTAAACGTCTACATACATCCCGTGATGTAGCTCATAAATATAATCAATATCAACACATTGTGGAAAAACTCCACAACCTGTAGTGTGGCGTTTTATTTTCTGCACAGTATGTCTGTGTGTTACGCATAATGAACCCTTAAGGCCATTTATAAGGTAGTGGGAGGTCCAAATGTAGAGTCAAAATTGTGTGAATAGGACTTTATACTACAAAATGTTAAGGCGAGAGCCTTTTGAAAAAAAAAAAGTATAAGTCCACCCCGTCATTGTGTTTCAGAATGAAACTGTACTACAATTGAAAAAATTCTTACATCAGTTTATTGGTAATCTAAAATATAAGCTAGTCATTTGTGCTTAATTGTAATTAATATTGGTAAATATAGGCTAGCTAGTTATTTTAAAGACATGAACAAATGTACAGGCATCAATAAAAATGATCATTAGTCCATCAGGTCAGATGTTGATTGCCAATGATGACATCCGGTAGCGAAGTTGACTTTCCGTCATTATTATGGCTTGCAGTCTCACTTAGGGGGATCCAGGTTACATGGCAGTTTGTTCAGTAGTTGTGAAGTGGGGGGGCATTACTAAATTATAGTTAATGCATCTTATAAACTTTGGATCCATTATGCTAGTTACAAATTATCATGTGACATGCACCATTGTTTACTATGCGTAACCGAAGTCGTACACGTTTAATCTAGTTAGCGAAGTAATGGTGGAAGCGAACTTTGAAAAGGGGCTATTGAAAAATACGTTCCTGTTCATTCTGTCGAAAGGGGGCACACGTTATGGTTTGAAATACAATCATCTGTTATAAAATAGTTCTAGTCAAGTGAACCTATGTTCATGCTAGACAGTATGTATGCTAACTAGGTTTAGGTTGGTTGTAATTAAATACTTTAATTAGCAACTAGTCCTTCGCTACATCTTTGATTTCTTTCTCTAACTGATACTAACATTAAATCAGAAGTTATTAGCATATCAAAGAAATAACATTTATGCGATCTTCTAACGGTTTTTTTTTTAATACCAATTAAAAGTAATACTTACAGATTCCCACTGCTGAATGAATCTTTCAAAGTTCTTCAGTTGCTGGTGGCTAGCCCTAAAAATAGAAACATAATAATTCAGAAAAGACAGGAGACAACAGCACACCCTACTGGTTACTCACACACACAAATATTTCTTCAAATAAAACATACCTTTCTCCATACTCGTAACCACCGTCTTTCTTTCACGCACTCTGCGAAACCGAGTGGATCACTGCGGAAAAAAACAAAGCATAATTACGATTAGCTATGCAATTAATTTCTGCTAAGTCCTAAATAATGATTCCAATAAAACATGTTATAGGGATATTCTTCATATTCCCAAACATAAATTATATTTAACTGCTTGAGGAATTATAAGTACTGAGCAAGTATTTGCATATGTAGTCAATCAAATGTTTGATTTTTGAGTGTTTTAGTGGTTCAAAATCCATGTAAATCTGTCTGAAACCGTGACACCCATTTCAGAACAGCCTACAGTCGACATTTTGTCTATGTGCAGAGTGGTACTAATCCTTTGGATTTGAAAGTATTGCCTAAATCAAATAGTTAATTTAAGAATTGATATAATTCAATACAATTTTTGTCTCTGAAACTACATGTTTAAAAATTCCTACCCATAAAACAGAAATTAAGACAATATTAATTTTTTTCCATGCATTAGATCTTCCTTCATATTAACATAAGTTTATTAAGAATTTCTGACTTCATATTCTTTCTATACATGCATTAAAGAAGTAATGCACCTATAAAAAGAAAAGATTATGTAAATAATGATATTACATCTCTACTCAGTATCTCAAAGGGTTAAAAGCCAACACCCTATTTAGTATTTCGACATATATCTAAGCTCTTATAACATAAAGAACATTTACCTTAACAATCTAGTTAAATGTTATGTGTGAGGTCCAAAATGAAGCAATTAGTATCAAAAGTCAATTTTAACGTTTTTTATACCTTCTTACAATAGGTTACTATTGTTTAAAATGACGAAGTGTTATTTAAAAAAGCCCTTTTATTAAAAATCTGCTACAAGTTGTATTTGAATCCTCAGTGAAATGAATACACTTAAAAGGATTTTATTTTTATTGTTTTTCAGTCACTTCCAATTCGATGAAAAAGCACAAAAACTGAATAAACAGAAAATAAACAAAAATGTGCATTAGGTTATTGTGTTGGTGTCAACAGATATCCTTCCAACGTTTAAAAACGAAACATAAAGATAATTTGGCTATTTTTATCGAGTAAAACCAGAGAAGGGCATTTTGCCCTCTCAAGGACAAAGCAAATTTTAAATGCGTAGGTTAAAATAACTCGAAAAACTTGAAGAATAAACATACTCGTCCACACATGAACAGAGTTAGCTCAAAACACTGATGGCAAACATGTAAAAATTATAAACTAAAACATAACTGAAAGCTTTAAACAGCATGAAAAGGATTTTCTCCATTCTTCGCAGACAGCACACCATGGCCATTTTTACAACACTGCGCCTAACTGTCGTTCTTTCCACCATATTGCCGCGCGCTTGATTCGTATTTTTCGTCTAATAATGCGAAATTTCTTCCAGGTTCTTACCCATTTCGTCAGCTTCGGCTACCCCCCGCTGTCTGCGATGGTTTCAGACGCATTTTTGGGTGATTTTGGTCGTTTTGGTGGATCTTCCAGCCGCTTCTTCGCGGTCTCCATGTTGGCCGTCCTTCCCGCCTCGCTCCTCTTCTGTGTCTGTCCTCCTCTCCGCCTCTGCCTGCGATCATATCCTTCAACGGTTCTGCCCACTTTCCTCTCAGCGTACAGTAAAGCCAAAACAACCCCACTTCCTTTAACAGCCCAATCCAGCTACAGGCAACTCATGGAGCCAGAAAACAACCCAGAAACTAAAGTTTACTGACCTAATACACGTTTTAACAGTGAAAAAAGAGGGGGGAAATGAATAATTATAAAATAATATTAATATATAAAATGACAAAATTATGTTATGTTTTGCACCTGAGCAGAATACAGAAAATCAAGCTTTTAATTTATATTTTAATAGTTTTTTCAATCAAAATTCTATGGAAGAGGATTAGGGCCACTGAAAAAATAAAAAAGTTAACTGACTTTTAAATATGATTTCATTTTAATATGGGAAAAGAGTCAGAATTCAAATAAATCTCAGAATACTGATTCTAACTTTTTTTTTCTTACTTTCTCTGACTTTGATTTCAAAATTCAGACTTGAATCTCAGAATTCTGACTTTTGTCTCAGAATTCTGACTTTAATCTCAGAATTCTGACTTTAATCTCAAAATTCTGACTTTAATCTCAGAATTCTGATTTTTTTTCTCAGAATTTTGACTGAATTCTGACAGCTAACAAACGTGTTAGCATCAAGCTGTAGCCATGTCTATTTTAGAGATTAGCTCTCTTGTTTTAATGATGTTCTCCTCTTCTGTTAATGAAATAGCATCACCAGGGACTCCTCGGAAATGTAAAAAGGTGCCTAATTGCGTCATATTGAACCATTGTGTTACTGGCCCTCCCAAACAACTGGCATCTTTGTCAGTGAAGCTAAGTGCTCCCACATCTCTTCCTTCATGGTGCCCATCTACATTAAGATCCACAATTCTGAGATAAAAGTCAGAACTCTGAGATTAAAGTCAGGATTCTGAGAAAAAAATCAGAATTTTGACTTTTCTCTCATATTATACCGAGATAAAATTTAAAAATCTGTTAACTTTTTTTGTTTTTTCAGCGGCCCTAATCCTCTTCCGTAAAATGCCAAATAGCCTAAGCAATAATATTACAAAAATAATTTCGAATCATCTTTTTCTTTAGGTTAAAGAATATTATATTCAAATAATACTGTTTTTGGTACTTTGTTTGACTTTGTTTTTATATGTAAAGTTGCAGCATTAAATAATACCCTGTAAATCTTGTCCAATTCTCAGGTATTCTGACAACTCAACCTGCACTAGCAAAGTATATTATGCATCATGAATGATCCAAATAGAGCATGCTTGTTTTTTAGTTTGTTTTTTAAATCTTGATAACATGCCATTAAATAGGCATCTCTTCTGGTAGTTTTTATGATGGTAATTTTATCTTCATCATCTCAATTTGTTTTGTTTCTTTGAAAAAACAACAACATGATTCAACACATTTGGGCTGTTTTCCTCTGTCTTCCCATATTTTTGTTTCTTTTGCTACTTTATAAATTAATTTAAATCAACTGATTTTTTTCTGGAATGTTTGAGTGTTTTCTATTGTCAAATCGATGTAGGCCTACAGTATATATTGTGAATTTTTTTATTTATTTATTCAATAAATAAAAAACAGTCACATTGATGTCGGATGTAGGAATTTGCCTTGCAATCGAAGGGTTGACGGTTTATTTCCAGAATCCGGCTTTCAATGTTGTGTCCTTGGGCAAGACACTTTATAAGTTGAACTTTATTGATCTCACATTGGACAAATGTAAATCTGCATTTAACCGATCCGCTTGGAGGAAAAGTGGGCTGCCATTGTGGGGCGCCCGGGGAGCAATCGGGGGTTATAGGTTTGCTCAGAGAGCAAGAGTGACAGTCTGTGGGATTGGGTTTCAAACTCACAACCTTAGAATTCCAAGCTCTATGCCCTAAAGATTAGGCCGCCACTCCCCCAGATATCCACCCACATTGTATACTGAAAGTGGTCAGTGGGCCCGGTGGCGCCAGTGTACTGCAGCCCCACTTCTGTCAGTGAGGCCCAGGGCAGCTGTGGCTGCAATGTGGTCTGCCACCATCAGCGTGTGAATGACTGAATTTGGTGTAAAGTGCATTGGTCAAGTCTCCTGATTTGAAAAAGCGTTATATTATTACAGATCATTTACCATAACAAATGCAAAAGCAATTCTAATTATTCTTTTTTTTTATGTATTGAGTAAACCTGGTTACTAACTCAGAGTGCTGTTTCCAACTCTCACTCTTTTGGACTAAAGGGTTTCCTCCATTTCCCGCTGTCACTCTCTACCCATGTTAGTGTTGTAGTTATTATATTTTTACACCTTTTGATTTAAAAAGAAATGTAAATTCTGGCTTATAGTCTACCTTAAAGTAATGTGGCTATATGGCCTCAGTAAATCACATGAACCAAACAGAGGTTGCCTAAAGTTATTTGGGCTTGACCAGCAACAATAACCCCCTTAATGAAACTTTTTCAGATAACAATGCCCATTTTTATTATAACCATTGATGTTATGATTAATTAAATTATGTATATTAAAATCAGAAATGAATTAAACTTATTAAATAAGTACATTGTTATATAATGAATTAAAATGAATAGTAAATGGAAGAAGAAAGAGATAAAACTCTTATGTTCTCATACAAAAAGCAGGAAGAATTGGTTAAATGAAGGAGTCAGTCCAGAGTATCTCCGGCCAGAGCTTCAGTTCTGCACACTTGGTCAGGAATCACTAGATGACACATAAGTAGAAGGTGTTGGTTTGATTAAAGAGAAGTTTTCATTTAATTTAACCTTCTTTTTCAACCCTCTAGAGTTACAGTATGTTGCAGTGTTCTAAGTGTCCTCGTAGCTTTAACCACCTCATTGGTTTTAAAGGGAGAACAGTTATCTCTAGATTTCTCACTTCTGAATGTTGCTCAGTCAGTCATTTTGAGTCATTTTTGATCGAAATATTGCAGACTGAGTTCCCCATGTTTTTCGCAGCACAAATAATTGCTTACTGTGTAAAGAACAAACATTTTACTATAATCAATCAGGAATCAACCCTTATTTACTTTGCTAATTGGTCACTATTACTCTGAGATTTTCTTGATATACCCTGCTTGCAGTTTATGGCTGTATTTTAGTTTGATCTTTTATGGTCCGGACTGCTCTAGCTCTCCTAGCTGATATTGATTTTCCCTTGACCTGATCTCTATTTGAATAGTTTTACATCCATTCTGGCTTTTAAATATCAGCATGTGACCAGTTCCTGGGAGCTGATCCAGATGTTTCTATGTGCAACACATGACCTGAAATCTGGAAATACTTATGCAACTAACAAAAAAAAAAAAAAAAAAAAAAAAAAACAATCAAACAGACCTAAAGCAAATACTCTCATATCAAAACAGACACTTTATCGAAAGCAACCTTTCAGGGAGAAAATCTGTACAGTCCTATGAAAGAGGGAGAGAGAAAAAATGACCCCAAATCTTGGTTAACTTAGGCTGATCAGTCAGTGCTGCCTTTGTTTAGCAGTGTATGAGGGCCCCCTGGAATTTTCTCCTCCCCCATGGCTGGCCAATCAGAGCAACATGAAGACGCGCATGCTCCGCATGGTGGAAGATTTCTTTAAAAAGATCCCCAGCGTGGCAACAGCAGCGCCCTGCAAAATCAGCATGAACACTGACACCACTAGTGGAATGAGCTCAGAAATAACAGACGGCTTGGGTGTAGGGTTCTTCAGCTTATCTAAAACTACTACTCTGAATAGCTTGTAGTGACATTGGTCCGTCTAAGGAACACAGTTTAGACTTAAATGAAGGCTTTTTATGAGTTCTGTGGGGTATATTTGCGTTACTTTAAGTATGTGAATGGAAACATTTTTTCCAGTGTGGTCCATACACCTCTAACAGTCATTTAGCTGCAGTTTCTTTAAGAATCGTAGACTTTAACCACAAGTTGGTCTTAACATTTCAAACTTACTGTGAAATATTTCCCTCTCATATGACTCAGCAGCACATGCTGCCACCTATAAGGAAACGTCTCCTCTAAAACGGATGACGGAAATGCAATCATTTATCTCTCTACTAAAGCTCTGAAGTGTTTTGCAAAAGGGTGTGCCTTGCATACTGCAAATAGAAAGACAACAGACAGGTTTGTATTCTTGGGCGTCAACTCTGGTCTGACTCTGACCCTTTACAAATCATTTATCTGGAAGCCATTTCAGTTGAATATATCTCACATGCCTGGTTTAAAACAAGGGTACTGTGGCAAAACTGACTAAATGAATGCCTTTGTTTTTAATTCAATTAATAAACTTAAATTTCAAATTTACTCAGATGAATACAAACATTTCTAAAGTATCAGAGCTCAAGTCCCCTCATTCCTCTGCCCTGTCATCTAGTTGTTCTTTCAGTGGTAAGCAGGAGGCTTTAGCCTTGTGTGGCAGTAATCTGACTCCTTTCTGTCAGAAGAAGCATAAACTTCTTGTCCATTGAATCATGGGACATTAATCATTAATCATCATGCAACGGTAAACCTTGACCTCCAATGACCCCGGAAGGTGTTTATCACTCTTTCTTTTGTGAAAACACAGATGGCCGTAAGTGGACTATGGCAACTGGGAACAAAAGAGCTTCCATTTTGGAGATGCACAGTCAGATAAGTCAAACATCAACACTGGTTAATCATTGCACCTCTGAAGACAGGATTTTCACTTCCTGCTTTATATAACCCACCCACTAACAGCATGTAGTCTGGGAAAAAGATCATCCTTATCTTCCCTTCACATGTTAGAGATCCTAATCTTATGCCAAGTCGGCCAACATAGCATTTATGGATAAAATATAATTATGCAACAAATTTTGATTATCTCATTGTTTCAAATAGTAATTTGCTTCAAACAGAAACTGAAGCTGGCAGATAGATAGTCTTCTACCTACCATGGATCTGTTAACTAGCTTATCCATGCTCCAATCACATGTTTGAAAAGAAGTAGGCTTCACTAATGGGAATGCTTAATGTGACCAGGCTAAATGTGACCAGGCTAAATCATATATATATATATATATATATAT